GCCCCATCAGTTGGTTTTTGTGGGCAAGAGATGTTAGTAGGGCATAAAAAATGATAATTGCTGAAAGTGAAACTTACGTCATGTAAATGTATTACATGTTTATTTATTTATTTATTTTTAAAGAGGGGGGAGAGAGAGAATTTTTTTTTTTAATATTTATTTTTTAGTTCTAGGCGGACACAACATCTTTGTTGGTATGTGGTGCTGAGGATCGAACCCTGGCCGCATGAATGACAGGCGAGCGCTTGAGCCACATCCCCAGCCCCAATTATATGTTTTTCAGAGTTTTAGAATTATTGATGTTTTTAGAAACTTGCTCTAGAATATTCATATGTGGCAATAAGCTGTTATTTGAGCAGTGCGGCTGTAGGTAAATTAAACCCATGCACCAACAAATTTGTGCTCTGTGAGACCTGATGCCAGCTCTCACAGAACTGTGCTCTGGTAAAGGCCACAGACAGGCTGTAATTACCATGCTGTTTGGCAGATTGCCATCTTGTGGTAGGTAGCAGGGCACTGCTGGTACTCTTGTAAGGGAATGAGTGTCCCAGACTTGGAAGGTCAGAGGCGGTTTTCTATAGGAAAACTTCCATCAGGCTTCTAGGCTTACTGATGATACAGATCTGGAAAAAGGTAGGACTTAAGTATTCACTGGACCTTTCTTCAGAGTACTTGTGCTTCTTCCTCGGTTTTTCCTTTTGTTATGTTGCGAGTGTGTGTGCCCGMGCCTGCCTCTCCCTCTCTCTCCATGTCCTTCAGAATAGGGGATTGAACCCGAGAGCATTCTATCTCTTGAGTTATATTCTCAACTCTTTCTATTTTATTTATTTATTTTATTTTTGGTACTGGGGGCAACCCAGGGACACTTTGCCACTGAGCTATGTCCCCAGCCCTGTGTGTGTGTATGTATATATACACACATTTTGAGATGGGGTCTTGCTAAGTTGCTGCAGCTGACTCAAATTCTCAATCCTCCTGCCTCAGCCTCAGAGTCCCTGATATTACAGATGTGCACTGCTATTCCTGGCTTGTTATATTTTTTAAGTCATAAAGCATTCTTTCTTCAAACTGACTGTCCCCATTCCTGTAAAGACCTGAAGAACTCCTCAAGAACTCCTGAAAAGATAGTTGGGTTACACTGGGCCTTCTTTGGTAGTAAGGTCAATGAAAACTTAACTCCAAAAGGAAGCCATTTTTCCCCTTTTCCAATTCTTTTCACTCTCTCAATTTTTCATTAAGGGCTAAAGTGTTTGGTTCTTTAAAACTCTTTTAAAATAGACAGACAAGAAGATACTTCTTCAGATCTTATTCAGTATAATTCTGTGTATAATCAACAGATTTTTTTTCTTCTTGAGGAATTTTTAAACAATCCTGATATCTCCTAGTTGGTCATTTACTAAAAGCAAGTACATAATCTGTGCAAGTCTTTAACAAGTGGAAATAAAATTAGCTCCAGGGTGCATATTTACTTCTGATTGATTTTYGGAGTTGATATTATAAAATTTATAATGTTCATAAAAACAGGTGTAATGGTTGGATGAACTTGATAATTTTGAAAATAGGGTGGTCTTTTAGGTAAAATGTTACTTTATAGTTAAGTTTATAAGGTTATGTTTATYAAGGTCTTATTTGGTATAATAGGTCACTGAATTTTAAATAATTTTAGTAGCGTGGCTCTCAGAATTTAATTTGCATAATGATAACTCTAAGAGCTTGTTAAAAAGAAATTTGTATTTATCTAAGTATAACAGTACTTCTGATCTGAAGACTTTTTGCGGGGTTGGTACCTAGGATTGAATCCAGGGACTCTCAATCCCTGAGCCACATCACCCAACCATTTATTTATTTATTTATTTATTGATAGATAGATAGAATCTTGTTAAATTGCTTTGGGCCTCAATAAATAAGTTACTGAGGCTGAGGCTGGCTTTGAACTTGTGATCCTCAGCCTCCCGAGCTGATGGGATTACAGGAATGTGCCACTGCACCCAGTTGAGGACTACACTTTTTTGAGAATAATTATATTAGTCTTTTTATAATGATTAGATACGTGAACTGAAGAACAAAAGATGAAGCAGATGATTCTAAGCACATGTGCAAAGACACACATATAAGTGTATGTTTCAAGGGGATTTTTGAAGGATTTCAAGTTGATCTTAAGATATATTATATTTTTGCCTTTATTGATAAGGTAACCCTAAGTTTGGATAGCATATGTGAAGGACACTCCTTTATTTAGGTCTTCTCACTTTTGTTCCCTTAGTCTACTTAGCCTATTATTTAGTAAACACCCTTTTCWGACATTTTCTGTGCTTATATAATGGGGCACCCATCTCATTTTTCTTTCTCTTGATTTTTGTTCATGGCACTATCTCACACGTATGTTTATGTGTGACATATTTTGTTTTTCTCACTGATTTTTGAACTCCATGAGGGCAAAAACTTGTTCACCACTGTATCCCCAGTGTTTTGATTTCTTTTTTTAAAAAATATTTTTAATTGTATATGGACACAATACCCTGATTTTATTTATTTATTTTTATGTGGTGCTGAGGATTGAACCCAGTGCTTCACACGTGTGAGATAAGTGCTCTATCACTGAGCTAAACCCTGGCCCCACCAGTGTTTAATTCTTGATGCACACTACGGTGTGCAGTTAGTATTGATTGAATGAAGAAAAGCAGTGTGTGAACTGCATTGTATTCAGTACAGTCCAAAATGGTCACTGCAAAGTTTGTTGTTCTGATTCACTTTAGGATATTTTCATTATTGTCTGACTAGTGTTCCACATGTATGTTTTCTAAGCAGTTGAAGTTTGAGTCTTTTTTTTTTTTTTTAAGTATGCTTGATTTTATTAACCTGTTGTAGAGGAGCTTTCCCCCCTAAATGTAATGATAATTTCCTGAAATGTGTCTAAATTTCTAATGTCTTTAACTATAGTGTTGGTTCTCAAACTTTAACATAACATCAGAATCACTTGGGTGGACATTACCTGAGATTAATGCTACTGTAGCTGAGGGAACCACATGTTGAGAAACCACTAGGATTAGAATGTGTTAAGCTTAATTTAACTTTGTCCTAATGACTTGTGTCACTTAATAGAGGTATGTTTGATTATTTAACTACTTTTTATTATTTACTGAATGTACTTTTTTTTTTTTTTTTTTTTGGAAAAAAATCCTTTTGCTGTCATTTACTGTGCCACTAGTAACTCCTCTGTCCCACTGAAATGTTCCTGTGCTAAGCTGTTCTGGGCTGAGACTAGAGAAGTTGGTTAAATTTTAGCTTAGAAAAGAGAAAGTCTTGTAAGCACAGTTCATGTGTACTTCAGAGAATAAGCTTTTTCGTATCTGTTTTGATTATTCAGATTTGGTTTTTGATTGTTCTCTAACATATCTCCTGCTGTCACACAAGTGACTTCTGGTTAAATATAGTRTCATTTTCTCTGCTTGCTTTAGATGGATAAGGATCATGAGGATCCGTGATATTTTTATATTTTCTATATTTTTATACTTTAGAAGTCCACAAATGACTTTTTCCACCCTGTTATTTCTGTAGTGCTTTAGCTAACCTATAACCTCATATTGTATGTGTCTTATTTTTTTTGAAAGGCTGTCTTAAACTGAATTTTACCTTGTTAAGTACTTCTGGGTCTTTTGAAATAGTGGAGGATGGGATAAAGAACTAGTACTATATTATATTATTAAAAATGTTAACTCTACATGTAGTAGGTATAATATGATCTTTTTTTCCAAAGTAACTAATATTATGCATCATAGCATAGAAAAAGGAAACAGTGCATTTGTGTTTTTTAGTAAATACTGCTTAATGAAGGAAATTGTTGCTTGCAATTGGTTACCTTAGCAGAGTTTTTTCTGTTGGCTTTTTCCTGGTTAGTAATAAAATTACCAATATGTTTGTTACACGTTGTAAGTTGAAAAGTACTGTCACTTAATTTTCACTATAATTTCAGTAGTTAGTAGGGGGGGTGTTCTTACTTAAGCTAGAGTAAATCAAAGAACAGGGAGAAATTCAAATTTCGTAATGGGTCATAGTAATCCCAAGGCCCATGCTTTTAGTCTGTCTTAGATATACTGAAGTAGTTGTGTTTGTGCCCGGGGTAAGTTACTTATTGTCTCTCTTCATCCTTAAAGTGATGGGAGTGTTAGTTTCAACTTCATATAATTATTGTAAGATTAAATTGAAGGAAATAAATTGATTACAGCATTGCCTGACTGATAACTGAAGTCACTGTAAATGTTAATAATTCTTGTAGTTATAATACCACTTTATATTTCTTCCTTTAAAAGTCAATACAGTAAAATTTCACTTTCAAAAGATATTAGAGGAGCTGGGGTTGTGGCTCAGCAGTAGAGCGCTTGCCTCACACATGTGAGACCCTGGGTTCGATTCTCAGCACCACATACAAAAATAAAGTGAAATAAAGGTGTTGTGTCCAACTGCGACTAAAAAATAAATATTTTTTAAAAAGATATTAGAATATTTCTTTGATTAATTTATGTTGGATTAGTTGTCTTTTGTTCTTAAACCCTCATTTCTATTAGTCTAATTGTTTTGTTTTCTTAAAGAATGTGTAAATAGTTGTTATTGAAGTTATGGTTTATATGGTTTCTTTTAATACATTGAGATAGAAAAGGATGCCTTTTCTTGGATTAAAACATTTAGTATGTATTTTATTGCTAAATCTAAAATAGATCTTGCTTATTTGATAGCTTATGGGGTATTTTAAAGGATTAGAATAATTAGGCATTTGGGACAAATATTAGCTCATGTATGCTATAGAACAAAGGAAAAAGTAAGAATTTCATATAAAGAAAATTTAAAATATTGTGTCATCGTAACTTTAGTAACCGAATTTTAGTAAACTCTGTTGGAAATAGTTATAGTTATGTCTTGCTTGGCATGAGTTTCTTTTCTGTAAGTGATTATATATTTAAAAAGATTAATTTCTAAAATTGTCTTGTGTTTTCTCCCAACAGGGCATTCTTAGCAGGGTTACAGAATCTGTTAAGAATATTGTGCCAGGGTGGCTACAAAGATATTTCAACAAGAATGAAGATGCATGTAGCTGCTCAACAGACACAAGTGAGGTTCCACACTGGCCAGAAAATAGAGATGATGATCATGTGATWTATGGCCATGAGGAGAGCTCTAATATTAATGATGGAAGAATCACCCCTGAGCCAGCTGTCAGTAATACAGAAGGTAAGTAACATATGAATATATTTTTTATGAATGATAGATTTTCATGCCCTAATTTTAAATACATTTATGTTTACCTGGCTGTGGTTAATCAATGTCATTGAGTAGAACATAAAACATCTGAAGGAGGATGGTGATTAGGTTTAAATTGAATGTCTTTGTTATTTACCAACCTTCTGTTCATTAAGGAAGTCTGACACATTAGTTAAGAGTACAAACTCTGATGTCAGACTTTGGGTTTGAATTTTCATATCAGCAGTATTAGCTATGTAGTGTTTGGCAGGAGACCGTTTCCTCCTCTCTGCCTTCCTAAGTTGTTTCAGAAAGAGTAATTGTGAGCTGAGCATGGTGGTGCACTCTTGTACTCTAAGCTATTGGGGGCAGAGGTGGGAAGACCATTTCAGCCACAAATTTGAGACTGACCTTGTCTTTTTTTTTTTTTTTTTTTTTTTTAAGTAATTGTGAAGCCCTTAGAATAAACCCTAGCACTAAGGGAACACTGCACAAATGTTAACCATTAGAATGCAACTGTTAGTGCCTCTCAGAACTCGTGAATTTGGGTATAATATAACTAGTTGTATTCTGTTCTCTAGAGCAAACTCAATTGGGTTATTCCATTAATCACTGTTCAGTGACCCTGCATTTTAAATCTTTGAATTCTTAGGATCTACTTTCCAGCATTTTGTTAGGGTTTCCAAGTATTGTAAATTTAGTGTAACCCACGTCTAGGCTATATTTGGAGATATTATTATTGTCATTTCACTTGATATGTATTTTTTATATCTGTATTGATATATAGCTCATCTCATTATAGCTTCATTGAGATACATGCCATAAAACTCACCTATTTAAAATGTAGTTTAGTGATTTTAAGTATATTCACTGGGGTTTGCAGCTGTCACTCCCATTGATTTTAGAACCTTTGCTGTCACTCTTCATTCCCTTCTCCCTCAACTCCTGACAACCACTGATCTGCTTTCTATCCCTGTAGATCCCTATCCTAGGCATTTCATGTGAATGGAATCATAAAATATGTATTCTTTGTCTCCAATTTTCCACTGACCACAGTGTTTTCAGCATGTATCAGAATGTCATTTGTTTTTATTGTTGTTGGACAATATTCCATTGTATGGATAAATTTACCCCTTATTTATTAGTTAATGGACATTTGAGTTGTTTTCACTTTTTGGATGTTATGAATATCGCTGTGAATATTTGCATGCAAATTTTTGTGTAGAGTAAAATAGCTGGGGCATATAATCACTCTATATTAATCATTATGACAAATTGCCAAAGGGTTTTCTAAAGTGGCTGTATCATCTTACCTTCCTGCAGTATATGAAAGTTTTATTTTCTTTATATATCATTACCAAAACTTATTTTGATTATAGTTACCTTAGTAGGTGTAATGATATTTCATTGTGCTTTGGGTATAGTGTTGTGTCACCGTTGCCCTCCCCCTGCCAAAAAAAAAAAAAAAAATCTGGGATTGAATCCATKCCTCATGCATGTTAGGCAAGCAGTCTACCACTAAGTCACAACTTCAGTCTCCAACTTAGTTTTAATATCTGTAGTTTTCAAGATTTCTTTTAAATATATGACAACAACCATCTGGAGGCTTTTTATTTGGTAGATGTCTAAGATGACTGCTTCCAATCCCCCACCCTGCCAATCACATGGGATCCAGTTTGACTTTTCTTTCTTTCTGTTAAGAGATTTTCTAGTATGCACTGATGTAGTCACAGTAACAGAATCTGTTCTCTCAATCCTAATAGAATACTTATAGGGTTTAATTAAACCTATATAGGGATTTAGGTGTGGGATTTATGGATAGTTTCTAATTCTACACCTGCAAGATTATTTTTTGTGTTTGTATTTACATGGAAACAATGGAATTAACTTCATTGGTTTGCTAAGGTTAATTCAAACTCAGATTGTATTCATTACTGTATTAAATTTATAAGATAGCTTTTCCTCATATGTATTACATATGCCTTTGTAATTTTTAAACTCAAGTTATTATGGAAAATTTATAGAAGCACAGAGGATAGTACAGTGAGCCCCTATTTCCCCATCACTCAACAACAGTTTATGGCTGGTTTTGTTTTCTCAGTTCTCACACATTTTATCCCACCTCTCCACTTCACTCCCCTGAGGATTCATTTTTTATTTATGGTGCTAGGGCTTGAACTCAGAGCCTCGTGTTAAGCAAGCACGCTACCACTGAGCTACATTTCCTGCTGTTTAGAAGCAAATTGTGGGCAGCTTTTTGATATGTTTCAAAAACTTATATCACATTTTCCTTTCTCAGACCTGACTCATAGTCCCCAAACCTTTGGAGTCCTAGGCAGTTCTTATAATCTGCCTTGACCTTTCTCAAATTATTTGTTTAATGCCTGCAGTCAGATAGTGTGAGACTTCAAGTATAAATTGTAACCCTCCCATAAGATGAACATAGCTATTACTAGATATAACAACAAAGAAAATCAGTTTATATCAACTTTGCAAAACATTACACTTGAAGTTATTCTCAAAATTTAGAGATATATCTACTGTCGAAGTAGTGTCAAATTGCAGAAGGCTAAAAATAACATGAAAGTTCTTAATGTTTCCTAAAAATTAATTTTTACAAAAATAACTTGTATTAATAGTAACAGTGGGGCTGGAGAGTATTTTTATTCTTCAAGTGGCACAATGCAGTAAAACAGTTTGCAGCCCATTTCAAATGTATTGTCTGCAGCCCCTGTTGATTCTTGTAATGATGATGAGCCTTGGATGTATAGATTGCTTCTGCTAGATTAGAAGAATAGAATGATGAGAAAAACCCCAAATCCATATACCTGTTAAAAAGTTTTGGACTATTACGCCTCATAGTTGTACTCTTAGAAAACTGGGTGTTTATGGCTGATGTGAATCTGTAGGTGACATGGCCTTATTTAATCTTCCCGTCCCAGACTATATTCTTCATATGGTTAGGTGTGAAAGATAGGAAGCTCTGTAAGTAGCAAGAACTGGCTTGTGCTTCTTGGCCATTTGAATGTATCATTTTTGGAGAAAGAATGCCTATTCAGTTTCTTTGCTTTTTTTTTGGTTTGGTAATTTGACTTTTGAGTTGTAGGAGTTATTCATATCTTCTGGATATTAGCCTCTTYATAGGCTTTCCGGATATTTTGTGTTCTGTCTTTTCACTCTTTTTTCACCACAGTTTAATTAATTAATTTGGTATGGGGGGATTGAACCCAAAGGCTCTTTACTGTTGAGCCACATCCCCAGTCCTTTTTACTTATTATTTTGAGACAGTCTCACTATGTTGCTGAGAGACTCAGCCTCCTGAGTTGCTGGGATTAAAGCGTGTGATATCACACCTTGCTTTAAATTTTAATGTAATGCCTTTGTTTTTGCTTTTGTTGCCTAAGCTTTAGGTATGGTATGTAATGTCAGATCCTAATAACTTAATGTTTTTCCTCTGATTTCTTCTGGAATTTTAGAGTTTTGAGGTATTGGGCTTAAGTCTAAGCCTACAATATGGTTAGACTTAACCTTCTGTTTCCCCTGTGACTTTTCAGAATGGTTGTAGACTGGATCTAACACTAGAACATAGTTCTTATTCCTACAGGGAAATGTTTTGGTACTTCAGCTGAATGCCAGGGAAGTGTTTATGGGATTTCTAGATTTCTAAGTTCTGGCAGCCCTTGAGAATTCTTGGCACAGGTTTTTTTTTTTTTTTTTTTTTGCTTAGTGCTCTTAGTGTCTCTGTTTTCAGCTTCATTGCAGCTGCTATTTGGTGGTGTTGCTTTGTGTATGTACAATCCATTCACCCACTGAACATTTCCATGTGAACTTCTGGGAGCTCCTGTGAGTGTAGTGCCCTTGGTTCTGATTCTGTATGCTGTTTTGCATGGACTTCATCAGGACTCTGTTCCAGATTTGACAGTATTCCTCAGGCTTATCTTTTCTTAAACTCTTTTTTGTGGTCTAAACACAGTTGCCTTGTACTTTCACCAGTTTGATACATATTTACATTAGAAGAACTAGTTTCGTCTTAGTTATTTCATTCTMATGGGAACTTGACAAATGATTTTAAAGTTTTTGGAAATATACAAGAAGATGAACAGAGGTATTCTGAAAAAGAATAAGGTGAAGTGGAGTAAATTTAACAGGCATTCAGTGTGTTCTAAAGCAAAGTATTAAAACATTATGGCACTGGTACAGAAATATATAGGTGTAACATTAGAGGAAGAAGGAGTAAAGCCTTTTAATTGACAATCGATGAGGAAAGAATGGCTTATTTAAAATTTTATCTTAGGATACTAAAAACAGGCTTATCCCTTTGGAAAGAATGAAGCTTACTTCTTCACTCCTGCATTGTAACTGATTCCAGATGGAGTCAAGATGCAATAAGCAACAATACCAGAGGAAATGAGTAAAAGTTGTAAATGAGTTGAACTAACTGGGGGAAAAATGGTTGTGGTATTTCAGTTGTCATATCACATGGTCTTATGGGCAAAAAATACACTTTATACATCTTATTAGTCTTTTATTATTAATCTTAATAGTAAGGGAGACTATGACAATAAGCATTTAACAGAAGAAATATAAGTGGGTAACGAATATAGGGAAGGATGCTCAAAAGCTCTCTCACTTGAATAAGTACAAATAAAATAATGATTCCATTTGACAGAAATTAGAAAAGGTTAATATCCAGCTTTGGAGTTTATCAGAAAATGTATATTGTCATTTACTATTTGTGTGAGTACAACTTATGAAATCCTTTGAAATCACAGTTTAATATCTGTTATAAAAAATAAATAGGAGTATGCAGTTGAGTCTAGTTTGACAGAGCAGTTGATTTTCAGGAAACCTAGGACTGCTTGGGCTAATTTTGGCACTCAGCTTCAGACTTAACTGAATCATACATAGGCTGTGATAGGCTCAGAGAGATTTGTTTAATATCAGTTCTCACAAATGTCATATGTATTGAAATTATAGAACCATGAATTTATGCAAAAGAATACTCTTAAAATATGCAGATATAAGTGCATTCGTGTTTAATTATTTTCTTATTGGGAAAATAATTGAATAATTATAGGCAGTTTGAGGGTATAATAGAATACAGGGTGGTTTTTAAATGGAATGCTCAATGTACAAAAAATTATTGGTAAAAGAAAAAAGGTTAAAGAACAAGATGATAACATGATTATGGTGGGATAATGTATCTTTGTGTATACATAGAAAAAAATAGAGATACACAGAGTTAATAGTGACTAAATCTGGAGGGAGAGATTTAATGCTTGTTTTATGACTTTATGAGCAGATGTTATAATAACACCTGTTCAAGGAGAATCTGGGACATGTTCTTTAAGTTGTACGTGATCACTAAATTATTTTGACACTAGTTTTGGTAACTTCAAGTTTAGTTAATTGGTTAAGGAGTATCTTAAATTTGTCTTATCATGGGAATCCTCAGTGATTCGTAGTTGAAACTATTAATATAGTGTTTCTTAAAGAAACACTGATAGTGTATTGATTTTTCTAAGTTGAATATTTATACTATTCTCTCTCACTCTCTCTCTCTCTCTCTCTCTCTCTTTTATTAAAGAACCTTCAACAACAAGTACTGCTTCCAATTATCCAGATGTATTGACAAGGCCTTCTCTTCACCGGAGTCATCTGAACTTCTCCATGTTGGAATCTCCAGCGTTGCACTGTCAGCCATCTACATCTTCGGCATTCCCAATTGGCAGTTCTGGATTTTCCCTTGTAAAAGAAATAAAAGATTCTACCTCTCAGCATGATGATGACAACATCTCAACTACCAGTGGTTTTTCTTCAAGAGCCTCTGATAAAGGTATTTTTTTTTTTTCATTTGATAGTAAGTTTGGTAGTAAAATTTCATGGAATGTTTTTTCCCCCACATTTTTTTATTGGTGCATTATAGTTGTTGATAATGTGGGATTTGTCATTACATGTTTATATATGCACACAGAAGAACAATATAATTTGACCAACATTCGAAAACACTTCTTTCTCCTTCCTCTCCACCTCTTATGTTAGTCCCTTTCCCCTGCTGATCTTTGATTTTTAGGATATCCACCCTCACCTTTGATTTCCTTTTACCTCTCTGGCCTTCCGCACATGAGAGAAGACAACAATCCTTGACCTTGTATGTTTGACTTATCTTACCTAACATGACGATCTCTAGTTCCAGCCATTTTCCTGCAAATGACATGATTTCGTTTTCCTTATGGCTGAATAAAATTCATGTATTATACCACATTTTCTTGATCCTTTCAACTGATGATGGACACCTAGTCTAGTTCCATAGTTTTGCTGTTATAAACATGGGTATGCATGTATCACTATATATTATCTGACTTTAATTATTCAGGGTTAATACTGAGAAGTGATAAAGCTGAATCATGTGCTGGTTACATTTCTAGTCTTTTGAGGAGCTTACAAACTGATTTTCATAGTGGTTGTACTAATTTACAGTCCCACCAGGACTGTAAAAATGTTCTTTATTCTTCATCTTCTCCAGCATTTATTATTAATTTATATTCTTGGTGACTGCCATTCTGACTGGTGTGAGATGAAATCTCAGTTTTGGTTTGCATTTCTTAATTGCTAATGATGTTGAACATTTTTTTCATGTGTTTGTTGGCCATTTCTATTTCTTCTTTTGAGATGTGTGTGTTTAATTCATTTGCCCATATATTAGTTGGGCTAGCTGATGTTTTGATGTAAAGTTTTTTGAGCTCTTCATGTATTCAAGACACTAACACTCTGTAAAAGAGTAGCTGGCTAGAAAAGACTTTCTCCTGTTCTGTGGGTTATCTTTTATTTCCTTTGTTGTGCAGAAACTTTTAAACTTATTAACTCTTGGCATTATTTCCTGACCTTTAGGGGTCCTATTGAGAAAGTTGTTGCCTGTGCTTAAAAGTTAGAGTATTGACCCTACATTTTATTCTAAGAGTTGCATATTTTCTAGTTTAATTTCGAGGTCTTGGATCCATTTTGAGTTGGCTTTTGTGCAGGTTGTGAGATAAGGGTCTACTTCCATTCTGTATATGGATAACCAATTTTCCCAGCACCATTTGTTAAAAAGGCTGTCTTCAGTGTATGTTTTTGGCACCTTTGTCAAGGATTAGATGACTGTATCTGTGTGGGTTTGACTAAGTGTCTTCTATTYTGTACTATTGGTCTATGTTTTAGACCAATTACTGGCTATTTGACTTAGTTTTAATTTTTATTTTTCTATGTGAAAATCTAGAGTCTTATAATTGGCGCTATTACTTTTGTTTCAGATATAGCTGTTTCAAAGAAYACTTCATTGCCACCTCTGTGGTCCCCAGAGGCTGAACATTCTCATTCACTCTCTCAACATACTGCCACCAGCTCAAAAAAACCAGCATTTAACTTATCTGCCTTTGGAACACTTTCCTCTGTGAGTACTAACTGGATTGGATTTAATCACAYTCATTTTGAGTATTTTTTGCTTAAAGTTTGTCATTGTGTTTCTGTGCAGTCACTTGGGAATTCTTCAAATCTTAAAACAAGTCAGCTTGGAGATTCTCCTTTTTATCCTGGAAAAACAACATATGGTGGGGCAGCTGCTGCAAGACAGTCTAAGCTACGAAATACACCTTATCAGGTTGGTTTCATTGGAGATGGATGATGGTTCTTCTTTTCTTTTTGCTTTTAATTAGCCATTCACTATTGACACTCGAAAATTAAAAAAAAAAAATAAACTTTTAGTTATTCTTTGGTAAAAATTACAGAACTATGGAGATGACTGCACCTCTACCATCACCCTTTTTAGGATATGTGAATATTATTTCAGGTCTAAGTGAACATTTTGTGTATTATATTTGTGTGTCTCTTAGGAAGTTTGATTAATTTATTTTGTAAGTGAGGAATAAATTACATAATAAAAATTTGCTCTTATTTGTGTATGTGAATTATATAATAAAACACATGCAGTTGTGTAACCATTTCTGCAGATTTTTGAACAAATATTCCCATCACCTCAGAACATTACCTTGTGTATCTCTGTAGTCAGTCTGTCCTTTCACTATCATCCTCTTGACCACCACTAATGTTTTTCTTTCCCTGTAGTTTGCCATTTTCCAGAATGTCATATAAATTTTAGTCAGGTGTAGCCTTTTGTATCTGACTTACTCCAGTTAGCATAATGCGTTTGAGATCAGTCTGTTTTTGCATGTCAATAGTTCCTTTTTATTGCTGAGTAGTATAATTATAGTTTTTCACCAGTAAAAGGACACTGTATTATTTCTCGTTTTTTGCCTGTTTTGGATAAAGCTGCTATGAACATTTTGTATGAATGTTAATTTTCATCTCTTGGGTAAATACCTGGGAGTTGGATTACTGGCTCACAAGGTAAGTATATAATAAATTGCCAGATTGTTTCAGAGTGATTGGTACCAGTTTGCATTCTCACTAGTAGTGTAAGAGTTCTAGTTGCTCTGCATCCTTTCTAGGACTTGGTGCTAGCTTTTTGTTTTAGCCATGCAACTAGGCATGCAGTGGTAATTTCAACATGTGGTTTTAATTTGTACTTCCCTAGTGGCTATTGATTATTAGTACTGCAAGAAATCAGACATGTGCTCAAAAGTTACTCAGCAAGGCAAACTACCCAAAAAAATCTGGCAAGCAAGCACACTGGGTGGGAAGTCTGCCCAGGTTTTTATCCTTTTGCTCTGATAGAAGGAGTTTAGGATTACAATATATGTGATTGACTAATTTAAAATTCGGGAGGGCAAAGGGAAGGACTCTAGTTAGGATTGGATCACCTAGTACTCTGTAGGCATTATGATTGGAAGACAGAGGACAAAGAGAAATAGTTGGGGGAATCAAAATGGCTACATTTTAACCACATGGTTTAGTAACTTAAAAATAGTTCCGCCTAACTACTCACTAGGAAACTCAGATTTTAGATTATAGCAGACACATTTTTGTTAACATATTAGTAAACTCAGACTATAGGTTTAACTTTGACAAAAAAGACAACATTAATCTTACATGATGTTGAACATCTTTTCATATGCTTATTTGCAATCAGTGTCTTTGGTGACGTGTCTTTAAATCTTTTGACCATTTTTAAATTGGGCTATCAAAGAATTTTGAGYGTTCATTTTTTTCAAATCCTTTATCAAATGTGTGTTGCAGATATTACATTCTGTGACATGTTTTCACAGGGTCTTTTGAAGAGAAATTTTTACTTTTGATTACATCTAAGTATATTATTCTGTTTTTCTTTTATGATTTCGCTATTATATCTAAGACATTTTTGTTTAACCCTGTGCCACAGATTTTCTTGTTTTTTGTTTGTCCCCAGAAGCTTCATAGTTTTAGGTTTTAATTTAGACCTGTGATTCATTTTGAGTTAATTTTTTTTATCTAGTGTTAGGTATGGGTCAACACTTGTTTTACGTATGGATGAACCATTGTTCTAGTACCATATGTTAAAAAGACTATCTTTTCTCCATTGAATTACTTTTGCACATTTGTTGAAAAGTAGTTTACTATACATTGGCTCTGTTTCTGGACTTTCTATTATTTTTCCATTGATCTGCATTTGTCCTTGCAGTATTACCTTGTCTTGATAGCTCTTTTATAGTAAGTCTTAAAATCAGGAAATGTGAGCTCTCTAACTGTTCTTTTCCTTTACAAGCTTGTTTTGGCTTTCTTGGGTTCTTTGCTTTTCCATAACATTTTAGATTCAGCTTGTTGGTTCCCACAGAGGCTGTTGGAATTTTGATTGGGATTGCATTGAGTCTAAAGATCAATTTGAGAAGAATGGACATCTTAACAAAATTGAGTCTTCCAGTCCATGAATACAGTATATCTCTTTATTAAGGTGTTTTTAAGATTTCTTTCATGAGTGTTTCGTAGTGTTCACAATGGAGACCTTGAACACATTTTATTAGAATTTTTTGTTTATTTTGATTAGTTACACATGACAGTAGAATGCATTTTGACACATTTATGTTTTCATTTTATTTGGCATAGCATGAGCAAAAGTCTGAATAGTGTTATTTATTCAGTAAGTTGAATTCATAGTTGAAGTCTTTCCAGCAAAGAAACATTCAGGCTCAAATAGCTTCCCTAATGAATTCTAACAAGTATTTAAAAAAGAAAGAACACCAATTATAAACTCTTCATGTATTAGAAAAGAACATTATCCAACTCTTGGAGGATACTGGGGATTTAACCCAGGGGCTTTTACCACTGAGCTGCATCCCCAGCCCTATTTTTTAAATTTCTTTTTGAGATAGGGTCTCACTAAGTTACTGATTATGGCCTTAAACTTCTGACCCTCCTGCCTCAGCCTCCTAAGTTGCTGGGATTATAGGTGTACCACCATGCCTGTCTCCCCAACAGTTTTTTTGGGGGTGGGGGTGCTGGGGATCGAACCCAGGGCCTTGTACATGCAAGGCAAGCACTCTACCAACTCAGCTATATCCACCCCCTACCAAACACATTTTTAATAGGCTAACAGTACTTTGATCCAAAATAAGACAAAGACATTATAAAAAAAAAAAACATGGACAGCATTTCTCATTAATTATGGATACATGCTTTTACAACAAAAATTTTTATAAATTGAATTCAACCTTTATAAAAAGAAAACTGTATCATGATCAGGTGGGATTTGTCCTGGGAAAGCAACATTTGAAAATTTTGTAACCTAGCACGTAAGCAGATTAAAGAATAAAAACCTTATGAACATTTGATATTATAAAACATTTCACAAAATCCATCATCCACTCATGATAAAAATTTTCAGCAAACCAAACGTAGGAAAAGATAAAAGATTCATCCTGATAAAGCATATTTACAGATGTACCATTCCTTAATGTGAAAGACTGATTACTGTTCTTCTGAAATGGGGGGAAGAGCAGGGAAGTCTCTTTATCAAAACTGCTACGCTTCAACCTACCCAGTGTAGAACAAGGTATACAGATGGAAAAGGGAGAGGTAAAATAATTCCTGTTCAGGAATGTAGGTATTTATTTATATCTATTACCAAAGGACTTCAAAAAATGCTATCAGAACTAATAGTTTGTCAGAGTCACAAGATACAAGGTCAAAATACAGAGCAATTTKTATTTATGTGTTGTATATATTAGTAGTCAATAATTAGAAATTAGTAACTTTTTGAGAAATACCAATTTAAGGGAAATTGCATCCTGTTCTTTGTCCTGCTATTTTCTTSAGGACTGTACAAATTCTGGTTTGTGTGGGTTATAGTATTTTTATTTTATATTATAGTTTTTGACCTTTTTAGAGATGGAAGAGAATGTAAACATTAAGATTTCTGGAGCAAATCTTATTGAAATGAGAATCCATGGCAAATAGGAATCAACAAATGCTTGAAATTAGGATATTTAAACATTTTAATTTTGTCATTAAGGGTAGTCATTTCTTATCCTGATTGGAAGATTCTTTCTTGTCTAATTAACAGTAGTAATTATGAGACTTTTTTTTTCTGCGCTACTGGAAATTGAACCCAGGGGTGCTTTACCACTGAGCTACATCCGCAGCCTTTTTTTTTTTTGGAGTGTGGGAGGTACAGGGATTGAACTCCAGGGCACTCATCCATTGAGCCACATCCCCAGCTCTATTTTGTATTTTATTTAGAGACAGGGTCTCCATGAATTGTTTTGCGCCTTGCTTTCTGCTAAGGCTGGCTTTGAACTTTTGATCCTTCTGCCTCAGCCTCCCAACCTGTTGGGATTATAGGCATGCTCCATCTGCACCTGGCCATCCTCAGCTCTTTTAATTTTTATTTTGAGACAAGGGATTGCTAAATTGTTTAGGCTGGCCTCGAATTTGTGGTCCTTCTACCTAAGTCTTTCAAGTTACTGGGAGAACAGATGCACAACACCACGCTAAGCTATGAGCCTTATTTCTGAGTGTTTTTATGGGGGACATTTTGTTATAAGAGAAACCATTAACTGAATGTCAGAGTTACATAGGAAGCTTTTTCTTAAGCTGGATCATATCATGTTAAAAATTAAAATTTATAGTTAATGTAGTTCAGCGTGTTAGACGATGATGCAAGCCTATGATTCATAGAATAGTCTTGAGTGTGTTCCTGTTTCCTTCTCCTTTATTGCCAGTATTGAGTTCTGTTCTTTTTAATGCTGAGTTCTCATATACCCTTAGAATCTTCCTCAATCAAGCATCCAAATATTTACAGTTGACATTAGATACTTTTGTTTTTGTCATGCTGGGGATAAAATCTAGGACCTTAAGCTTGTTAAGCAAGTGTTCTTCACTGAGCTACACCCTCAGCCTTGTAATTGACATTTGGAATGCAGTCTATTAGCCATTTCATTCCTAGAGTTATGGAGCTAGAAGACATTATCAACATTCCAGTTCAGTTCTGTTTTATTGATTAGTGAACTGAGGCCCTGAGAGCCAGTAGACTTCAGTGATATCCTGGTGAATAATTTAATGTTTTCTCGTGATTGCTGAAGCCTCTAGTCTCTCAACAGCAATCCATAGGGGGCACCAAATTTGTAATAATACTAATGTATTATTATTATTACTGATGCAGCTACTTTGAAAATAAATGAATATATTTGATATATAAGAAGAAATTTTTAAAGTAGTAATTATGGTTCAAATTTTTAGATGATGAAAAGTTTTAAAAACTAGGTTATATTTTGGTTGTGAGATTATCTTTTCCTTATGTTACTCATTGCCAAATTACTTGGTTTTGTGGTATCACATGTTTATTAGAATCTTGTAGTGCATTCTTGAGAGAAGGGTGTATTTTTATTGGAATATATACATTTTGCTTTTGTATTAAAGGGTAATTGCCTAGTCTTTAAGGTTTTTTCCTAATCCCAATTTTAAGAAAGTAAGTCACTTTATTAAGAAATAGCATGAGTATTTAAAAATGTTCCTTTTGTCATGTTGACTTTTGAGAAACAAGTTATTAGTATTAAAATGTTAGATTTTCATTGCAGTAGAATCTATAGTATTTTGTTTATCTGTCTTGGAATTTGCTTGAATTAAATGTTAATTAATATTCAGAATAACAGCTATCTTAATTCACTTCTCATTAATTTAATATTATTTGATGTAAATATCAAGAGTACGCAGGTCTAGGTATTGCTAGAACTTTTTTTTACCAATTATACCTTTTCAACATGTGTAATATAACTACAGATCCATTCTTCAGAGTGGTGTGTACTATTTTATCACTTCTAATTATAAGAATACTGTCTCCGGCAGGGAATTGGATTTTCAGTAAAGGCATGAAGAAGAAAAACAATTAAACTCTTATTTTATGACACCTCTCAGAGATAAGTTGTTAATATATCGTATTTTACATTAGACATTTTATTTTGTAGATATTTTCATAAAATATGTGACTTAGATTTTGTTGCTACAAATAATATAGAGTTTACTTCACAGGCACCAGTCAGAAGACAGATGAAAGCTAAGCAACTTAATGCACAATCTTACGGTGTGACTAGTTCAACAGCTCGGCGAATATTGCAGTCTTTAGAGAAGATGTCAAGTCCTCTAGCGGTAAATTTTTAAAATCACTCTTAAAATTTGAGTTTAGTGAAAAATCTTAATTTTATTATTTCATAAAAAATAAATTTTTTTAAATAAATTGTTATTATAATATTAACAGGATGCGAAAAGAATTCCATCAGTTGTTTCTTCTCCTCTAAACTCTGTAAGTTGACCTTTAAAGCTGTTGTATTCTCAGAGACATATTTTTTACAGTTTTCTGTATATTCTAATACTGTTTTATTTTTTCAGCCTCTTGATAGGAGCGGGATAGATATCACAGATTTTCAGGCCAAAAGAGAAAAGGTATGGTAATTATTTAATGTGCCATCAATTTTGTAGCATTTAAAGTTTAACAGATACACAAATTAGATTTAGTTGATAGTTGTCATGGCACGTGTTTGAAAAATGACATTTTTTGTACTTGGACATTGTTCCTTCTTCTGCTCAGTGGTAGAGCACTTGCCTAGCACATGTGAGGTGCATTGGGTTTGAGCCTCACCACCACATTAAATTAATTAATTAATTAAAGGTATTGTTCATCTACAACTAAAAAAAAAAGATGCTGCATAGCAGATGCTTATTCAGTATTTTTTGGTGATCTGCCATTTCCATCTTTAGATTCTTTATGGTCTTTATGACTTGTTCTTTTGATAAATGAAAATGAGAATGAACAAAATTTGTTTAGTAATTAGAAGGTCAGAAAATTAAAATCTTCATTGAACATTGAACCTTTGGAGATTTTCCTAATTATCTAACATTATGACAAATCTAATGTGTATAAATAGAATTTCAGTTTGGTACACATTTCGTCAGCCAACCAACATACTATTTCAGGATACCAGAACTATAAAAAATGTAATATAGATGTCTTGATACACTTCCATTGTGTTTTATATGGTTCAAGTTAGCTCTTGAGGTTACTGTGTGAAAAGTAAAATGCTTAATAATTTGAGGCTTTGGGTTAGTTATGTTTATGACTGGTTAAATATCCTTCCAGAAATGCAGATTCTCAAATTCATACTGTTGAAAGCATTTATCACTAAATTTCCCAAAAGTGATTATTAAAATTATCCTAATTGTCTGAATTTACTCTGGGAACTATATGAGAGGTTGATGAATTATAATTATGAAATTGAGTATAAAGAAAGCTAAAATTGAATTTTTCATGGAAAAGTATTGCTTCTCAATTTTTGAATTACCTAGATGTTTGAACTTGGGCAAGAGGAAATCTATTATTAGCTGTCATCATGGTATTAATTTAAATTGTTAACTCTTAGACTCTCTTGTAAGATTGTTTAAAAACAAGTGGAGTTTTAAGGTTATCCCATAATAATATTGTCAGTAAAAGTCTTACTGTGTCGTATTATTAATGACTGCGTATTATTTAAATAAAAGGAAACAAAATGCTGGGGTACAGCAAGTTCATGTTTCACAGATACGCGCCAGAACAGTTTGCAAAATAAACTATCTTATTCAGTTGTGTGGTCACACTAATGAAAAGGATTTAGGGAAGAGCTAGCAACTGTACAGAAACTTTGCCCAGAACACCCAGGTTGTTCACAGCTGCTGCTGAGTGCAAGGGCTCTATTCATGRTATTGCAGTCTCCATCCAGGGTTCAAATTCTGGGCTTTATGGTGACCTTACACCATCAAGATTTTTACTGTGTTTTAGAGAAGCAAAGGACTATTAATGAAAAACACTTGTGTACTTAGACAATAAAACCAGTTCATTTCAGAATCTGCAAGTTTTTACATTGTAAGGTTTTGACTTAGTTTGTTTTTTAATTAACATTGGAGGAACCAACTTAGGACTTTGTTCATATTTTTAGGAATTAGAAGTATTTTTATGACTAGCTAAAAAATATTCACATAAGTTATTTTTTTTGAGGTGCTAGGGTTCAAACCCAGGGCCTTGCACATGCTTAGATAAGACTTTAGTACAAAGTATGTCCCCAGSACTCATACAGCATCTTATTTGCAAGATGAAGAAAATGTAGACAATAATTTGGGGGAAAATGTGAGAAAAACCAATTTAGACATATTTAAAATTCATGCTTTAAAAACTGAGCAGTTTTAAATTAAATAAATTCCATTTTATGTGTGAGCAAATGTGCATGTATGTGAAAAAAATCACTTGAGTCTGGAATGAAATATAGTTAATCTTCCTATGAAATTGTTTTGAATTTGTGTGTATGTTATACATATAAATAGATAAAGTACCACTTAGGTTCAGTTTTAATAGTTTTTCCTAGTAGTATATATTTGCATCTGCTGAGTTTCTTTAGAAGTATTCATGGTCTCTAGGTAACTTTAGATTTTGTCATGTATTTTTAGATACGAGTCATTGATATGTATGAAGTTATTTGTCTTTATTTCTGTTTACCATTAAGGTGGATGCTCAATATCCCCCTGTTCAGAGACTTATGACCCCAAAGCCAGTTTCCATTGCAGCAAATCGAACTGTTTATTTTAAACCATCTCTGACCCCATCTGGTGAATTAAGAAAGGTTAATCAAAGAATTGATAAAAAGGACAGTGTGAGTATTTATTTATTTTCACCACTCTTTGAATATTGGTTATGATGAATAATAATGAGTAATGTTAAAAGGAGGTATTCTCTCATTATAATCTAGCATCTATATAATGAGTAAAATTGGTGTATTAATGATGATTATGTATATGCCTTTAAATAGTTTTCATCTTGATCAAATCCTAAATTAGCATTTACTGGTAAATATTAGTATTATACTTACTATCTAGATTAATTTTGCTAGATTTGATCCCCCCCTCCCCTGATCGTAAGTTCAAAGCCAGCCTCAGCAACTTAGTGAGACCATGTCTCAAAAAAAAAAAAGTGTGAGGATGTGGCTCAGTGGTTGAGCACACCTGGGATCAATTCCCAATACAAAAAAATTTATAGGAAGAAAAATGGTATAGCTGGGTGCTGTGGCTCACACCTGTAATCCCAGTGGCTCTGTAGGCTGAGACAGGAYGATCAAGAGTTCAGAGCCAGCCTCAGCAAAAGTGAGGTGCTAAGCAACTCAGTGAGAACCCTGTCTCTAAATAAAATACAAAATAGGGCTGGGGATGTGGTTTAGTGGCCGAGGGCCCCTGAATTCAATCCCTGATACCACCCCCCCCCAAAAAAAAAAAGAAAAAAAGAAAAATGGGATCTAATGGCATCTATTTTTTTTTTCTAGACTGGATATGAAAAAAATATGACACCAAGACAAAGTAGAGAACAAGAAAGGTAATGTCATTTCATATCCACTAAATTTCTTTATATTTAATTTTTAAGGTCCATATTTGATTTCAGATACCTATTTGAATATTAAGAAATTTAAATGTAGAAACTTTATGCCAAAAAAACAAAACAAAAACCTGTCAGTTTTAAAAATTATATTGAGCTTTGCATTTATTTTTCTTCCTTGTTAGCAGTTCTGGATTTTAGGTATTTAGTTAACAGGTTATGGACCCGAATAATATATCAATTGTTTTGATTTTCTTTTTATTTGCTAGTGGCTTTTCATATCCAAATTTCAGTATTCCTGCAGCCAATGGTTTATCTTCTGGAGTAGGTGGTGGAGGTGGCAAGATGAGACGAGAGAGAACACGCTTTGTTGCTTCTAAACGTTCAGAGGAGGAGGTAGGGTTATATATTTAAATATTCCTGAGGTTTTTTWAAAAGCTTTGATGTGGTAGTTTTAAGGGGAGACCTGTAAGGGTGGGAGGACCCAGAGCAAGAATTATCTGCCATTGAAACATTTTCTTCAAAGTATGTGTGTAGCTGGGCATGGTGGTGTAAGCTTGTAATCCCAGCGGTTTGAGAGGCTGAGGCAGGAGGATCACAAGTTCAAAGCCAGCCTCAGCAAAAGCGAGGCAGTAAGCAACTCAGTGAGAACCTGCCTCTAAATAAAATACAAAACAGGGCTGGTATGTGACTCAGTGGCCAAGTGCGCCTGATGTCAATCCCCACTACACCCMCTTGTCCCCCCAAAAAGTGTGTGTGTGCTAACTGTAGTATTTTTAGTGAATATTATAAAGCCACAATAAAAACAAATATTATAAAAAACATTATCGTCCTTCAAATACGGGAATTGATTGCCATCAAGATTACTTGATCTTGGAGTGTTACTATATAGTTTTGTGTGTTCTTAAACCATATATATRGTTAATGCTGTATATATTGTCCTTTTCTCCATTTTTTTCCTTTTGACATTGTGAAAATTAACTAGTTTGTTTCATTTCACTGCTATATATTTTTTCAGTGTAAAGCTTTACCGCAGTGATTTCATTCTACTATCAGGATGTATTTGGGTTGATTCCCAGTACATGTTAATAATATTCATGCACTTTTCCCCCTTTTTGTTTTTAAACATTTTTCTTGGTTGCCAATGGGACTTTATGTATTTATCTATCTATTTATTTATTTATATGTGATGCTGAGGATCAAGCCCAGTGCCTCACACATGCCAGGCAAGCGCTCCACCACCGAGCCACAGCCCGAGCCCACTTTTTCCTCTTTATGTACAATATTTTCTCTAGTATATTTCTGTAGAAATGGAACTGTTAGATTATAGATGATGAYATACAAGTTCATATGTATTAGATGCTGCCATATTGCTCTTCTAGGTAGTTTTGCAGTTTAACACTTTGCACATTACAGTGGGTAGATAGACTTTTTCTGTATCCTTACCAGATCTTGATTTTGTTGACTTTTGAATTTTTGCCAGCATGATGGTTGTGAAATGATATATCATTGGAGTTTTATTTTCCATCTTGTTTACTGGCAGGAAGGCATCTTTTTTGGCCATTTGAGTTTTTCTCTTATCAGTTTTTTTCTATGAGGTTATTGCTTCAATTAGGAACRATTCTTTATATATACTGACCTTGAATGTTTGCAAAAAATCAGTGACTAATAGAAGATTGGTTTGATTAATCTTTCTGCCTATAGTTGGCTATATATTTTTTTACTAGTTTAAATTGAATACAGGTCTCATTTCAGACTTTTTATAAATGATTTCAACCAAGTTACATCATTTAAAATTTTTTTTGTTGTTGTAAAGAAGAGGTTTATAAAGCTTGCTAGATCATTTAACCTTTGGTACATAATGCTTTCATTTGCCATTTATTTCAAAAATCTCATTTGTATCCTCTTTGACCACAAATGTTTTAGTGGGATATATTCTTAAATTTAACATGTAAGTGACTGTGAATTCACGTTTTGATTGAAGTTGTTGAATGTCTTAGGGTTAATTTTCGTAATGTCAGTTGGTATTTTGATTAGCAGTCTTGTTTGGGGAAGTTGGTTTCTTTTTCACTTTTTCTCTTTCCTTTTCCGAGTTAACATTTCAGTACTTTTGCATCTGGCTTATCAGAATCATGATTTCTTTGCCTGTTGGACTTCCTGTATGTACCTTTGCCATGATGTTTGGGTTTATGCTAAGGGCCTTGGTTCAGTTACTGGTCTGGACGCTCTCTTTCCCTCAGGTTCTGCGTGTCACTCTGCTGCTGGAGAGTTGTGAAGGAAGGGAATATATTAGTGTATTTCACTATCTCAAAAGAAAACTTCAGTCTTTAATGCCATTGATCATACAGTATGTACAATTTTAGCAAACCTATTTTATTTTGTTATTAAAGCTTTTATGCAGAACTATTAATTATGTTTAAGAAATAGGTTGTCTGGACAGAAAATGTAGCTTAGTGATAGAGCCTTGCCTAGCATGCTTGAGACTTGGGGTGTTTTTCTTAGTACACCCTGAGAAATAAGTTGTCTTACTTTGTACAAAAAAGAAATTTCGTGATTATCTGAATAATATAAGATAAACTTGTTTTTCTAGACATACTTTTATATTTTTCATTAATATTGTGATATTATTTATCCCTGTATGAGGAAAATATTGGGTTGGTTTTATGTTTGCCAGATGACATATTGTGTAGATATTCTTCATTTCCCTTCACTTTTAATTTTTAAAGATATTAAGCTGAAGCTCGATGATATCTGCAGCTTGATTTTAACTGTCTTAGAGGTAGTGTTTAGTGTTAACTTTGCGGTATTATGGTAGGGTTTTTATTGGTTTTATTTACTTTTGTTCTTATTGTCTGGTATAACAATTGTGAAGAGTTACATGGAAACCYCTATCTCATATCTTTGTCACCACCTCCCTGCTCCTGGGCCCCCCCTCCATTCTGGCCAACTGCCAACTGTCAATTTTGCATCCCAGGATGCCTCACCCAACCCTTGTCCATCCCTGGCTCTTTTCCACATTGGAGTTGTTATCTCCACATTTCTGAGGAAAGAGGTACTAATGGGAAGACTGCCCCACGTTTCTGCTCACTGCTTTTTATCTGGATAAAATAGGTTTAGCTACACATTTTTATAATTATTTTGAATGCATTGCTTTTTAAAATTATTGTTCACGTGTTAGTGATSTTCAGACCAGTAGGGTCTGGTTTTAGTTATAGTTAGAATTTTTGGCGAATTACTCAAGATTTTTTTTTTTTGGTAGGTATTTTAATGACCTTTAGGGAAAGGCCAAGTGGGAGAAAATTAAAATGGAACATAAACAGATAATGCTGATCTCAGATACAATTACTACTTAGCAGGAATTTGTATTTTTTGATTCACTAAACATTCAGGTTAATACAAATCTATATCTAAAGTAACTTAAGTTTGCAATATTGAGATAGAGTGTGTGTTTAACTTTTATCTTAGATTCTAAAATTTGTAAGAATTATAGTCACTACACTTAACTTGCATTTTGCCTTTATGTCTCTGTTTTTGGTACTAGGGCTTGAACCCAGGAGTTCTTTATCACTTGAGCTACATCTCCAGCCCTTATTAATTTTTAATTTTGAGACAGGGTGTGGCTAAGTTGTTGAGGCTGGCCTCGAACTTGTGACCCTCCTGCCTTAGCCTCCCAAGTCCCTGGAATTACAGGTGTTTTCTATCATGCCCACTGTGTCTCCTTAGTTGCTTATTTCTAAAATGGGAATAAGAATCAACATATTGCTGGGTACTGTGGTCAGAGCCTGTAGTCCTAAAGTGGCTCAGCCTGCTAAGCCAGAAGAATCGCAAGTTCAAGGCCAGCCTTGTCAATTTAGCAAAGACTTGGTCTCAAAACAAACAAAACAAAACACACACACACACACAAGGGTAGGGATGTGGCTCAGTGGTTAAGTGCCCCTGGATTCAATCCCCGGTACACCTTGTTGACATCTAGAGAACTCTACACCCTCAAATTATGGTATATTCTTCAAACAGAACATATACTGTACTATATTAAACAAATTTCAATGCAAGTTTAATTAGAAATTCATAATCCCCCATCCAGATATTTGGAAATTAAACACTGCTAAATAATGCATGCGTTAAATTAAAAAATCAAATGAGAAATTGGGGGATGGRGGACAAAAACAAAACCCAATATATTGAACTTACATCTGTAGTACATCTGTCACTTGATAGTAAGCCAAGTATTTCCCTGCTCCAATTTCTTCTTGTATCACATCTACCTTATATAAAATAACTCAAGTACATATATAACTCAAGTACATGTAAAGATGTTTAAAAGGTATTAAGCCATGAAACATTTGATGGTTGGCCTGTTCAGATTGATTAGTGCGTTCAGCTTGTGTCTGTAAYCATCCAGTTAGCAGAATTCTTGATATTTTTTTCCTCCTATTAAGACCCACTTATCTCCAAGTCCTTATTGGGGGCATTAGAAATCAAATTACAGAATAATATAAACAACCAGTGTGGCTGTTTGTGGCTTAATGAATTGGCACAAAATAGTAGGTCATACAGTATGTTAACGTCTAAAGGCAAGAAAATAAGCTTGAGGTTGGAGAGTAGAAAGTCCCCTTCAAAACTAGCCTGGTGTATCTTTTGTTTGCTCCTCACTTCCCCAAATTGACTATCAGGTTCCAAACATAAAATATCAAAGTAATTATTCCGCAAATACACATGTAGCACTTAGATTTTAATGTATTGTATTTGTCCTATCAAATAGCCATCTGTCGGGCTGGGGTTGTAGCTCAGTGGTAGAACGCTTGCCTAGCATATTGATGCACTGGCTTTGAACCTCAGCACCACATATAAATAAAATAAAAGGTACATTGACTACTAGAAAAAAAAAGATGGGCATCTATCCTCCCCCCTTTTGGGGGGGGTGTTTTTCAAATAAGTTGAAGATATCAGTATACATCAAGGTTATATAATGTACTAGAATTAAATATTTGTTGTTTTTTTAACTTAGCAAAAATATGCTTATAGTGAAATGTAAAATTCTTAGGTATAATGTTTAATGAATTCAACAAATGCTTAAACTAAACCTCTATTGAGGTAGTGAACATAGCCACTATCCCAAAAAATTTACTTAACATTCCTTCTCCAGTCCATTTTTGTCACCTTCTACCCTAAAGCACTTAGATTTTAATGGTTTATATTTGTGCTATGCTCAAATATAAAATTACTGTGCTCATTTTTTCCAAATTTTGGTTTTGCTTTTCCGGGAATTCCATATAAATACAATTATTCAGTAAATATTCTAAAGCTGCTGTGAACATTCTTGTACAAATCTTTTTGAAATCATATTTATTTCTCTAACAGTAAATACCTAAAAGTGGTAGGTTGTATTCTGAGTGTTTTAACTTTTTGAGAAACTGCCAAATTGTTCCCCAGAGTGGTTGTGGCATGTTATACTCCTACCCAGGAACTTCTCAGCATTTTAGTTACTCCTGATATTTACCAGCAGTTGTCATCGTTTTAAATTTTAGTCATCCTAGCTTGTGTATGTGGTATTGTGTTGAAGTTTAAATGATCATTTCTCTGATGACTAATAACATTGCATTTTTTTAATGTGCTTGTTGGCTTTGTATGTGGGTTGTTTGCTCAGATCTTTGTCTTTTTCAAAATTCAGTTGTCTTATCATTAGTTGTAAGAGGTCCCAAGTACTTTTGTCATATAAATTTCTTTTTTCCCAGTCTAAGCTTTTCATTTTCTCAACAGTGTCTTTTGATCAGCACTTGCCAAATTTTATAAAGTCTGATATTTTTCCCCTGTTGTTTTTGCAGTTCTTTATATGCCAAGAAACCATTGTCTTTCTCCAGGCTTCAAAGATATTGTTTTCTTCTAGAAGATCTGTGTTTGTGCTTCCTGGTTTTGGGGTTTTGTTTTTGTCCTATTCCCCCCCCACCCCCAATTTCTTATTTTTTWAAAAAAATTTAACTCATGCATTATTTAGCAGTGTGCTTAATTTCCAAATATTTGGGTTGTGGATTTCTAATTAAACTTGAATGGAGATTTGTTTAATATAGTGCAACATATGTTCTGTTTGAAGAATATACTGTAATTTGAGGGTGTAGTGTTCTTTAGATGTCAACAGGTGATTGATATTTCTTAGATCTTCTTCCTTTCTTTATTTTTTAAACTTTTTTATCTTTATTTTTTTATTTTTATGTGGTTCTGAGAATCAAACCCAGTGCCTCACGCATTCTAGGCGAGCGTGCTACCACTTGAGCCACATCCCCAGCCCTCTATTTATTTATTTTTCSAGAAGGAAGTATTGTTAGTCTGTTAAATTATGGAGAGGTGAAGATTTAAAATTGACAACTTTTTATATATTCAGATTGTTTTTTTCCCCTTAATTGTTTCAATTATTGTGTGATATATTTTGAGGCTCTCATTAAGAGCACACACCTTAGTGTGTAATGAGTTGATCTTTTATTATCATATGTCCAAAAAGATCTTTAAGAATATTCTTTGTCTTGAAATTTTCTCTGTCTGGCATTAATAATAAGTGCTGAATTCTTACTAGAATACATTTTATGCATAGTAATTACAGTTTATATCCTTTTCTATCCATATGCTTTCAGTCTTTTTAATATTTAAAGTAAGTTTTTAAATATATGACATATACTTGAGTTTAGATGTTCAATTGGGATGTTTAATTCATTTATAGTTAATGTAATTATTGATGTGGATAGATTTAGGTCTACCATTTTCCCTTTTTTGTTGTTGTTGTTGTTGTTGTTTGTTTGTTTTGAAAGCTGCCTCTATTGGTGTGAATCAATTATTTATTAAAATTTCATTGTAATTTATCTTTTAGCTTTACCTTTTTTGTTAGTATCTTTTTTTCAGATTATGTTACTTTTGTACCACTTGTATAAAATCTAAGTATCTTGCAACTATATAGTTCATACTTGCTACTATTTATTCTTGGCATTTTATGCTATATGTATCATTTCATTTTACATTTAGGCACACTGTAAACCCACAGTATATCCTCTTTTCTTTTTTTTTTTTTTTAAGGGCATTTTACATTTTATTTTTATATTTGTATTGTTAATGGACCTTTATTTTTTATTCATATGTGGTGCTGAGAATTGAACCTAGTGCCTCACACATGGTAGGCAAGTGCTCTGCCACTGAGCCACAACCCCAGCCTTCTATTTGTTTTTTGTATAATTATATATATTTTAAAGAAGCTAAAAAAGAAACGYGCTTTAATTTTGCCTACATATTCTTCATTTCCTTCCCAATCTGAGTTTCCATTTTGTATCATTTCACTTCAGCCTGAAGAAATTATAAAGCAAGTTTTATGGCAACAAATTTGTAAATTCTTAGTTTTATTTTATCTGGAGGGGRAAAAAAGGTAAAAATGCAAGTGTCAATTTTTGCTTTGATTTTTGGATCAACTTAATTGAGTTGTGATTTATGTACTATGAACTTTTCAGATTGTTTTAGCTGGCAGTGAACTTACTGGAACTAAAACTCTTTCTCCTCTGGTGGACAGCAGTTTAAACTCTAGTTCCAATGAGGTTCCCTGGTGTCTGCTTTATACCTGTGGAGTTTTCAGGTTTAGCAGATTTGAGTGGTTTTGCATTCAGACTTGAGAATTCCTTTCTGTGGCTTTTCATTTTTTCATCTCCCCTCATTTGTAACTGTTGTGGTCTTGCCACACTGTCTTCTGATTAGTCAGCTAACAGGTTTTCAGTATTCTGTCAAGTTTTCAATTGCTCAGAGTCACTAACTCAAAGAGAACAGGATGCTCACTCAKTGCCCTTTCCTACCTACTTTTTTTYCTTTCTTTTCAGCGTTTCCAAATGTTTGGTGTTGACTTTTTTTTTTTAAACACATTTTCTCCTATATTATTATGTTTCCAAGGCATTGGTCACATAAAGTACTCCACTACCAACTAGTACAAGTGACTCTGTGTGTGTTCTTAATCTGGGTCATTGGAAACTTGGGATGATCTTTGCTCTATTGGTTAGAAACCAAAGCAATTTACTAGACTTCATGGGTTATGGTAGTTACTGTTTGTTTTAATGCAAAGATAATATAGAACTTTGTTTTGCATTATTACCACTGTTATGTATAGAGTAAGAATCTTTTTTCCTCTCATTTTTGCCAATTAGAAAAATTGGTGCTGAGGGTAGTTAGGCTCTCAGAGTTATATGGCAGTTGGTGACATAAACCTGGGATTCAGATCTTGTTTTTTAACTTCAGAGCTTACATTGCTAATATTATATGGTGCTATCTTCTTTGTATTCTAAATTTATCTTATCTCAATTTATTTTAACTTCATCAGTTCTACCTGAAAAATAAGAGTAGGAGTAAAAGAATGATGGGGAAGATGCAAACTTGTCATTATAATACATGCTGTGTTTTAGGAAATGGAAGTACCAGTATTACCGAAAATACCCCTACCAATCACCGGTTCTTCACTGCCTACCTTCAATTTTAGTTCTCCAGCAATCACAACTTCCTCTCTGTCACCCATCGGTCCTTCTCAGTCGTTAACAAACAAGGTACAGAGCCATTGTATAAATGAGGTGATGTACTACTGAAAATGCTTATTTTAAAGCAGTGATTAATTTCTTTATGGAAATAATTACCTCAACGTAGGTAAAGAAAAATAAAATGGTGTCTTAATATTAAAAATTTAAATATATTTTATACATTATAATTGGAATTCTTTAACTCTTATGCAGTGCATTAGAGAAAAAAGATTAATTTGTTTCCCAACAATATTTCCAGTGAGACTTGGGGGTGRGGGTAGGAGTAGATGTTATGTCTTTACTTTCTCAGTTAGGTTTAATATCTTTTAGTTTGCTTCTGTGCCCCGTCCCTTGTTCCTTACTTTCACTTTTTCTCAACATGTAGTTTATTTTTCTCATGTAGGCAACTATCCAGCTCTAAGATTGTATATATTCCTTTTCTAAGAGGCAGCCAGATTTTATAGAAGAAACTCAGTGTTTTTTAGAAGTTCTGATTTTTAAATCTAAAAGCAAAAAAAAAAAAAAAAAAACTGAATTTTTTGGAAATAATTTTCTGAAGGTGTGTTTTATTGACAGTTTCTTTTCCTAAATAGCATTGTTTGTGTCATTTTTTAATAATTTGGAAAACCAGGTACAAATGACATCTCCGAGCAGCCCTGGAAGTCCCATGTTTAGATTTTCATCTCCAATTGTAAAATCTACTGAGGCAGATGTACTACCTCCATCCTCTGTAAGTAGTAATAAATATTTCATATTTAATATATATATTAACTTAATAATCATAACTTAATAAAGCATATATTTTGTATTTTATAAATATAAACTATTTCAAAGCCCTACTGTACTTTATCAGATCTGTGATGTTATTGGTAATAAGAAACGTAATTATTTTGTTTCCAACTTAAATATTCATAGTACAGAAAAGGTAATTGCATATACCATTTGATAGTTAATTCTCCTTCTCTGTGACCTCTAAGAAAAGGGACATTCCTTTGCTCCATTTAATATAGTTATCATACCCAAGAAATTTTATCATGATTTTATAATACAGTTCATATTTAGACTTCCCATTGTCCCTAGACTGTCAATTAGTTGATGTTTTATGTCTATTGGCCCTAGATCCAGATAAAGACTAGGACCTAATTACTGAATTATGCTGCATGTACTTAATAGATCTGTTGAATGACCTTTTAAAAAAAAATACATATGTATTTTTAGTTGTTGAATGACCTTTATTTTATTCATTTTATTTATATGCAGTGCTTAGAATTGAACCCAGAGCCTCACACATGTAGGGAAATGCTGAGCCACAACCCAAGCCCTGATGAGTGACCTTTTAATCTAGAAAAGTTCTGGGCTTTTTTGGTCATGCAACATATATTTGTTCATGATTAAATAACATTTTGAAAGAGAATAATGCATAAATTTAATGTACATTTTGTTCCAGGTTTGGCATTTTGTAAATTTTGCCTTCTGTTTTTGTCTCCTTTTTTTGGTCCCAACTAGTGTTACAGATCAAGTATAATTTCCTTGCTGCTTGCCGGAAACCCATCAGTTTTCCCCCAACTCATACTTTTTATTTAAAAAATTGCATTCAGAAACTGGACATTAGGAATGCAGCATTATTTTCTGGAATGTTTTGAAAGGGGGAATATAAGGCCTAAGAAATTCTTTTTTTTTTTTTTTGGAGACAAGGTCTTGCTGTATTACCCAGTCAGCAGTCTGGTCTCATTCCTAGGTTCACATGAACCTCCTGCTTCAGCTTCCTTAGTGCTGTTACTATAGGTATACACCACAGTGCCTGGCTTATGAATCCCAGATTTAGATATTGTGGAAATTATATAGGTGAAATTTAGTGTGTGTGTGTGACACTTAAGAAGACTTTTTTGTTTTTACAGATTGGATTTACATTTAGTGTGCCTGTTGCAAAAACAGAATTTTCCTCCACTAGTACTTCAGAACGAAGTATAAGTAGTTCTGGTAAGTAAAATTTTTTTACATATTTTTGCAAAAACAAAATTGTATTCATTAGCATAGTATTTCAAATCCTTTCACCTTTGGTAATTCTTCTAAGTGCTTTCACTTGAATGAAGTTAGCTCTGAAAAGAAGTTTTTGCTTTCTAATAATACTTTCTATTAATGGTTTTTCAGCAGGACAGTCACCATAACAAATTTATTCTGTTTAGTCAAAATACTGAGCAAGTTAGTTATAAATTAAGTTTAGTTTTACTGTAAATTTGTCTACAGTATAATTGTGGTGGATCTCATCTCCAGGTTTATGAGCATTTCATAAGCATTTTCATTTGTAAAGGTTATGCTGGCCTGTGCAGGTGATGATACATAATCTCTGAACTGAAAAAAAAAATTGACGTATTTGAGGAAAAGGAATTAGATAATTAAAATAGGATCTTGTTATAATAGTAGTTGTTTTCTTTTCACATGGACTGTGCTGCTTAGGATAAGAATTCTGAACAAGGGCATTTTCCCCAAGAAATAAAGCCAAGGGAAAGGGTACAGTTACAAAAGAAAAAACATTACATTCTTTGTAAATATCAAAAAATTTATTGTGAGGTTGGAGAGAGAGCTTTGCTTGCTAAGTTTGTGATTCTAAATTTTTTTATTACCTTTTTTTTAATCAAACAGCTGTATGTAATAAAAAGTAGCAGACATTTCAGTTGTACTTCTTACAATAAAATTTACGGATTAAACCTTGAATTATGTAGTAAACCTCTCATGACTTGTTATGAAGAAAGGTATTAAAGTCCTTTCTAGATTTTACTAATGCTTTAGTAGTGGTAACTGAATGTGTAACAATTTATTAAAATAGCTTTTTATTTTGTGAGAAATTATAATGTGAGAAATTGCCCAGGTTTTTTTTTTTTTTTATGAGTGATTACGAGTACATTTATGTGTGGCATCTACAAAATTGTATATTCTCACTTTAGCACCTTTGGTTCTCACCATTTTTTTTTCCCTCTTTTTTTGATACTGGGGATTGAACCCAGGGGTGCTCTACCACTGAGCTACATCCCCAGCCCTTGTGTTTTTTTATTTTGAGACAGGGTCTCACTAAATTGCTGAGGCTGGCCTCGAACTTGYGATCTTCCTGCCTCGGCCTCCCGAGGCTGGGATTATAGGCGTGCGCCACCGCGCCCTGCTGGTTCTCATCACTTCTATCATTTAGCARAGCTGATTGAAAATGTGGAAGTCATGATTAATTATTTTGTGACAGGAGCTAGTTTTCCCATTTTCTTCTTTTTGTCTCTTTGAGTGCGCTTCAGGTAATCCTAAAACTTTACCTTAAATTTACTAAAAACAATTTAATTTTGATTATAAAAAGTAAAAACAATGAATATGAATTCATTTTACCACTAGCAGCCACCATTAATTTTTAGATAGAAACATTCTAAATTTTCTAGACTTTCTAACCTGCTTTTGCCCACAACTATGCTTTTTAGCATATGCATTTTATTATGTCACTGTTATAGGCAGTTTATGTAACCAGACCCTTATTGATACTGTATCATACAGATTTTTAATATAACTGAAGGATATTTTTAGTCATAGCATGAATTTCTGTTGAGAATTTGTTTTAGGTTTTTTTTTAAATCTCTATTTTAAATTGCTGAGCAATCAAATACATTATTTTAAGCAGTGAACAAGTCTTGCCCCAGTGGCTGTATCCCCAGTGTTTCAGTTTAATTTTCTTCTAATGAATTTACTTGCTAACAGTTGTAGTTTATACTTCTGTGCCTTTTTGTGACATGTGGGGTGGTGAGGGGAAAGTATTTTTATCTCCTTATAATGGTAAATTATGTTTGCTCATTATTTTTGAATTATAGTGACTATCAAAGTTTTAGAAATTGATTTAAAAGGGCTTAGATTTTTAAAATGCATTTAGTTCAAGAATCCCGTGCTTTCCTTGGCATAATATTTTTTATAATTTTAAAAAAATTACAGCTCAAGATATCACTGTGGTGAACAGCACAAGCTATAAGAAGCGAGATGAAGATTGTGAGGGCCTTTTTAGACCTGTAAAAATCCTGAAAGAAGGAAGTGTTCTAGATGTTCTGAAAAGCCCTGGTAAGATGATAGTAGCCCTTGAGATAGTAAAAAAAAAATCTTAATTTTAAACTCCCTTGATTTCATTTTAATGTGATTTGTGTTATAATGTGGGTTCCTTTAAAAAAAGTAACTACCAATAATTTGATAAGCTGTTGAATTTTGAATGTAGATTTAGTGAAATCTAATTCTTTCATGGGAAATATCTTAGAAAACTACTTTAGAATTCAAGATCTCTGTATATAATAAAGAAATCTCTTTAAGAGGCAAGTATAGAAAGACAATATGAGTTTTCTATTAATTGAGATGGGCCAATATTGAATAAGAGTAAACTTGACGATAACACCTATTAGTCTTTGAAATAACTGAACTGCCTTCTCACATTATTCCCCGGATTGGTACATATAGAATGAGGCCAAATTTGCTGAATTTTAACACAGATATGTAGGAAATTGTATTCACTTGAAATAAGATTTGAAAACTAAGTCACTTATATGATGATGTTTATTTTATTTTTAATCAACACAGTGTTTGTATCGTGGGGTACAGTAGTATAATGAACAAATCAGGGTAAAGCAGGTATAGAATGGGATGASTCCAAGTCTTTAAATAGAGGATGTAATAAGTTTGGCTTCTACAACAAGTTTCAGGGTTAGGTTGTTTGATTCTGCTTTCTTATTTCATAGGTTGTGTATACTACCTATAGGGTTCCGGTAATTGAATTAGTTTTAATTCCAGAATGCTTGCTTATAATAAAATTATTAGTCAGTGGTAATAAATGACTATTATGATCTAAAAAGTAGAATTATTAGCCAACTAGTAGATAAGCAGCAACTGTATAGTTTTTTGGACTGGGATATGTCTGAAAAATAGAGTGCATATGTGAAGCCCTGGATTCAGTCCCTAGAAAGGGTGGTGTATTCTTTTGCCCTATACATGTATTTAGGGTTGCACTTTGTTTCTCAACCTGGTCCCCTTTTAACTTTTTTAATAGGAACATTTTTCAAGTATTTTATTTTGTACTAGAGATTGAACCCAGGGATACTTTACCATTGAACGTCATCCCCAACCCTTTTTATTTTTTATTGTGAGACGTGATCTCATTAAATTGCCCAGGCTTCCCTTGAAATTGTGATCCTCCTGCCTCAGCCTCCTGAGTCACTAGGATTATAGATATGTTCCACCAGGTCCAGCTTAAATAGGAAAAATTTTATAAGAGTCTTCTTATAAAGTTTATTTGAGTGACAATGAAAAGGAAAATAAATTTAATACTGTCAGTTTTCCTAATTTAGTGTTTCAAATAAACCATTACAAAACAACATTGCTGGGCTGGGGATGTGGCTCAAGTGGTAGCGCGCTTGCCTGGCATGTGTGAGGCACTGGGTTCCTCAGCACCACATAAAAATATTGTGTCCACCTAAAACTAACTAACTAACTAAATATTTTTTAAAAAACCCAACATTGTTGACTGCTGGGAGTGACTGAAATATATGGTATCATTTTGCCGTTATGCTAAAGTAGCTGTAGGCTTGATTATTTCTTGATACCAGTAGAAAACCTGTAAGGACCTTCTATATTGTCTTCCCTTCTAATGCTTTCTTTGGTGATAGTGTTGCTGTGTATAAACTAAAAGTTTGTTGTCCCCAGGAAAGGATTAGAAAGTCATTCTCATGAATAAAGTATAGCTTGAGTGAATCAATTCAATGACGGCTTTGAAAATACCCTAATTGTCTAAATATACCTTCCATTTTTACAAAAAGATACACCTGGCACTGGRTTATGGCTCAGCGGTAGAGTACTCGCCTAGCACATTCGAGGCCCTGGGTTTGATCGTCAGAACCACATAAAAATAAGTGAATAAAATAAAGGTATTGTGTCCAACTGCAACTAAAAATAATATTTTTTAAAAAGATACTTGACAATTATGAAAGGATTCTGAGATTATATTAGAAATATATTTGAGTTGTGTTTGAGTTACTGTTTACGAACCACATGTGAACATGTATTTGAGTAACATCAGCTGCTGTTCAATGAGGATTAAAAAACTGGGTTTTAATCATTTTTATATTTCTAGGACTTACTAGTTGGGTTATAGTATCATTTGTTATTAAAACATAGTTTAAAACTTTTTTTTTTTAATTTTTAATTTTTTTTAGTTGTAGATGGACAACACAACACCTTTAACTATTTATTTACTTATTTATTTATTTTTATGTGGTACTGAGGATTGAACCCTGTGCCTAACAAGTGCAAGGCACACACTCTACCACTGAGCCACAACCGCTAACCCTTTTGTGAGTTTAATATAGTTACAAATATTCCTTAGCACCTTGTTGTACTTTGAGGAATACTTATCAAATAATCATGCCTGCTCAGCTCTGCTTAGCTGGTTTTATTGATGGTTGAGGTTACCACAACAGTGGATTATGACTGGATAGCATTAAAACATTGTAGGTATTGAAATTGTTTGGCAGGGCCCAGAGAACACCCAAATGAAGGGACAGACATGAGGGGACATTAGGACTGTGCTGTAGTTTAATATTTTGGGAAGGCAGACTGCAGTAAAATGTGGATGACAATAGTGTACATCATTATAGTAGAAATTCCTTGAGGGAGAAGGTGATGTGTGCTTATTTAAAAAAAAAAAAAATCTTTTGTAGAATTTTAACTTGTCTAGATGTTGCTTATTTATGCTCTTAATAAATATGTATGAAAAACAATCCTTAAAAGCAGTCCATTTGGTATTGTAGTAACTCTGCAAGAAGGTAGATGTTTTTTTTCCTCTGTAATAATGTTGCAGTTAACGTTTTGATTGGAAAACTTCTCTTTTTAAAAACTCTCTGCTCTTTTTCTCCATTGTAGGTTTCACATCGCCAAAGGTAGATCCTCTTGCTGCTCAGTCTACCGCAACAAGCCCAGTAGTTTATACAAGACCAGCAATAAGTACATTTTCTTTGAGTGGAATTGGGTTTGGGGAGAATTTAAAGGGTGGATCATCATGGCAGTGTGATACATGTCTACTCCAGAACAAAGTTACAGACAACAAGTGCATAGCCTGTCAAGCAGCAAAATTGCCATCAAGGGAAACTGCCAAACAACCTGGAAGTGGGACACCAACCAAAAGTGGCAAAGCAACTCTTTCTGCGTCGGCTACAGGCTTTGGAGACAAATTTAAACCAGGAACTTGGGATTGTGACACCTGTTTAGTGCAAAATAAACCGGAAGCAATGAAATGTGTAGCCTGTGAAACACCGAAACCTGGCACTGGTGTGAAGCGAGTGCTCACATTGACAGTGGTTTCAGAAAGTGCTGGGACCATGGCTGCGTCATCTTCCAGCTGTACTGTGGCATCTGGTTCTTTAGGATTTGGAGATAAATTCAAAAAGCCTGTGGGGTCTTGGGAGTGTCCAGTTTGCTGTGTTTCTAACAATGCAGAAGACAACAAATGTGTGTCCTGTACTTCTGAGAAACCAGGTATGTTTATGGCTATATGGAATAATTTTACTCATTACTTTAGTAGGGTGTTGTAATTTATTCTGTAAAAACAGCTAAGAACAATCTCAGTATTTTAAATGGTTCAAGATGAGCATCTCCTCACATGTTGATTTTTTTTTTTTTTTTAAACCATCTTGAGGTTAAAATGACTTGATAGTAGGGGCTAGATCTTCATGTTTGCTTGGATAGGTTGTGTGTCCAGCATATACTCTGACCTCCATTTTCTATGTGCTTTTATTAAAAGCTTCTTGCTCTTCCTGATAATTTTCTTTCTTTTTTAAAAAATATTTATTTAGTTGTAGATGAACATACAGTATCTTTATTTTTATATGATGSTGAGGATCGAACCCAGTGTCTCATACATTGGAGGCAAGCGCTTTACCACTGACCCACAGTCCCAGCCCCCTTCCTGATAATTTTCAATGTTTCGTAATGTAGATGTTGAAAGCTTTCAGAGTGGGGCATTCTCACTCAATTCTTCACAGAATAAAATGTTATTTTTCTCTTTTTCTCTAAGTAGAAATAAAGATAATTTTGTCATTTATAGGGATGTTTCTTTAAGGGGTGAACACTGACACTTTATGAAAAGGCTGTAGCTGAGCAGTATTGATACCTGTAGTCATATGCTGTTTGCCAGCAATGTTGCAGTGATAGTAGATTTTTGAAATATTAATGCAAAAAATTGTAACAGCTAGAAAAATGGAGTTAATTGAGTTTCTTCTGTTTCTCTGTTCAAAATTGAGTACTGAAGATTCACATCTTAATTCATTTGGAAGTGACTCTTTGCTTGTTTTGTAATACTAGTATATAATTTTATGATACAGATATAGTGATATAGATATGAATAGATCATGAACGTTCTGACAGTTATACTTCCTGTTTTTATTGTGTTACTTATGGATGTGTCCTTTTGTGTGTGTGTGGGGGGGTTGTAGTTGTAGATGGACAGCATGCCTTTATTTTATTTGTTTGCCTTCATTTTATTTATTTATTTATTTATTTTATGTGGTCCTGAAGATCAAACCCAGTGCCTCACATGTGCAAGGCAAGCGCTCTGCCACTAAGCTACAGCCCCAGCTCCTCCTTTTGTGTTTGTAAAGTGAAGCTACATTACTAGCCACACTCTTTGCCTTAGCACTTTAGCCATATTTCTAATTCATGCCGGATACTACAACACTAAGGTTTCAGTCTTCATTCCGAAATATCTTTTTCTTCCCATCTGGCATCATCTCCTTACTAAAGTCTTTGATACATTGAGGAAACCAGAATTGATTAAATTGACAAAAGAGTAATAAAACTTTGAATCCTCAGTAAGTGAACTTTTACCGATGAACAAAGGAGTCTTATAGAGGTAAAAAAGAACTTAAACTTTATCCAGAAAATGACGAATGATCATTTTCACCATAGGAATGACTCAAATTTGTATTTTTTTGATAAATCACTCTGGGTTTTTGGTTAATGGATTTGATGCCAATAGAATTTTTAATATTCTTAGTCCTATGAATAACATGCAATAGATAATGATTGTGTGTACTAAGGGAATCAAATCTAGGAGGGAGGGATATAGAATAATGTACATTGGAAGGCATGTTAATTTCAAGTTGCTGATGTTGACATCAAATACATGTGAGCCCTTTGGATATGCTGATATGGATCATTAACCCTCAGAGCTGGAGATAAGATGAGGGAGTCTTTTGTTATTTGAAGTTATCAAAGTCATGGGAATAGAGGTGAGTGGAGTAAATAGAGAAGACAGCCCAAACTGCTAATTTAGGAAGTGGTAGGAATAAAACTTGCACAGTTAATATTTTAAAGGCATAATCAGAGGGAAAACAAAACTGCATGACAGTAATTGCCTCTGAGGAGAATGGATTTCAACAACAGATGAGGGGGAAACTTACCAGAATAGTGGAAGTGTCAGAGAAAGATTGAGATAAATTGAGAAATATTTAAGGGAGAAGGAGCCATTTAGACCTACTAACCAAGTGGATTAGCAGAACCACCAACTAAGACTATAGTGACAGCTCAGAAGAGAAGTGTGGGAGGCAGGTACAGATTAAGAAACTGTCATTTTGGTGTCTAAGACCACTAGAGTAGATGACAGGACAGTGGACCAGAAATGGAACCCAGGGAGCAGTTGTATTGGCAAGAGAACAAAACAGAACATGCCTATACAGTATAGAAATCATTCAGTTAACTGGGAGAATCGACAACAGTTGCAACCATTTAGAGAAGTGGTGGTGGTCGAAGGAATGGCCSGGCTCTCTTGCTATGTCTTCATACCTTGTGCTTGGGTGAGCCCTTCTTCCCAAGCCACTTTACTCATAAACATGCTGGTTCTGCTTAAAAGATGTAATTTTCATCTCTGGGAATCCTTCCATGCTTCTTYATCATTTCTTCCTTCTTTGCACACTTGTTTTAGGTCATTTATCACTTGATAATGGTGCTGCCATGAGTTTGTTTAATTTTCCCCTACCTTAGGAATTAAATGTTATTTTACTCAACCTGATGTTCCCAGAACCCAACTATATTCTGGTGTTTAATAAATGTGTTAAATGGTCAGCATGTAATGGAGTGTAGGGTTGAATTGTAAAGTGGATGATTGTTTTCTGTGCAAAAACAATCATTTCAAATGTGGAGACTTGTGCCTTGAGATCTTACAATGAATATGGTATATGGCTATGTATTTTTTGTGTTAGGGTATTGCCTATAGTTTGCATCTTGTATCTTAAAAACACTGCTGTTTAAGAAATTGACCTTTCAATACTAAAGATTGAACCCAGGGGCCCTTTATTGATGAACTCTTAYCTATCTACAGTCTTTTTTTTGTTCTATATTTTGAGACAGGGTCTAAATCGCTGAGACGGCCTTGAATTTGGGATCCTTCTGCCTCAGGATCCCAGCTAGCCATCATCGTCCTTTTAGCCTCTTAATTTGTGAGCATGAGGTTTTTTTTGTTTTTTTTTTTTTTTAAACCACAACAATTCAAATTTGAGGTTAAGGAATTCATCACTAAGCAAGGTTAGAGCAAGCTGATCATTAGAGTTTTTTTCTGGCATATTCGGTTTCTTAATATGAAAAGTTAATAAACATTGAACACTTAAAAATATCATTAAGATGCTGATACAATGTAGTTAAATTTTCATGAGTTTCCCTATTACTTTTTAGGAAGTTCAATACCTGCTTCAAGTAGCAGCACTGTGTCTGTCTCTCTGTCTTCTGGAGGCTGCCTAGGATTGGACAAGTTCAAAAAACCTGAGGGAAGCTGGGACTGTGAAGTGTGCCTAGTCCAGAATAAAGCCGACTCTAGCAAGTGTGTTGCATGTGAAAGTGCAAAACCAGGCACGAAAGCTGAGTTTAAAGGTAAGGTAATGGAATGCCTCTTTACAATGCTGTTTTAAAGCGCAGTATTTACAAACAGCTGAAGTTTTTAAAAAGTTATTCATTCTCTGTTAAATTCATATAAAATGGAATATTGTCCTTAGAACTTTTTAATTCACATACATCTGAATTATTATGTCAAATTAGTTGTAGATCATTAGTGAGGTATCTTTGCAACTGGGGTAATGACCTCTTGTTATTGAAAGAGAATAGTGTTTTTATTTTTCRTTTTTTAAAGTTGGTGCATTATAGATGTCCGCAATGGTGGTATTCATTGTTACATAATCATACGTTTACATGGTTGTTGCTTTTAAATGTTAACTCTCTAGATGAGTTTTCCGACTCTTATTTAACAGACTCTTATTTATACAGACCTACAACCTTATTATATATAGGTAATATAGCTTTGGGCTTTGGTTGCCCAGCATATGACCCAGAAAATGAACTCTTGAATATTTTGTTAATCATGTACACATTTCAGTCAAAAGTTTGATAACCCTGGGGGGAAAAAGAAATTTTAATATCAGAAGGACCAGTCAGGGAGAAGTGAGCAAGATTTTAATCTGTAAGAGAGTAAGTTGACAAGGTGGGAATATGGAGGAATTAAAAGTACCATCATTGTGGCAGGAGGATCTCAAGTTTGAGCAGTTCAGCAAGGCCCTATCTCAAAATAGAAAATACAAGGGCTGAGAATGTAACTTGGTGGTAAAACGCCCCTGGGGCTCMGTCCTCAGTACTCAAACAAACAAAACCCAAGCTTTCTCTTATTTTCTAATTTGCCTCAGACTGGTGGCTTTCAAACTCTTCTGACTAAAAAATCAAAGTTAGATATGAACTATTATATTTTGACTCATCGTACCCACATCATATTTGTCTATATGATTGAAATAACATTTTTACAAAATAATACTTCCCTCTGGTATATATGAAGTACCCTGGTGTTTTCTGTTCTCTTTAATTTTTAGGGGGCCACAGTCAGCATTTAATTGGATGACTAATGAAATACCACTGTCATTTTGAAAACTATTGCGTCTGGTTGATTTGGAAGATCACTGTTTTCCATGCCATTTAACCTCATTTTTTAGCTGTTGCTCCACATTTACTTTACCACATTCTCTGCCTGTGGTTCAGTGACCACCATATTTTAAATCTGCCCATAAAAAGAAGTAATTAGTTCCCATCTTTGGCCCCTTTATTTTTAGCTTTCTGTCAGTATTATTTAGTAGTTTAGAGAGTAGGTATAACTTACTTGCYTAAGATTCTCATGTACTTTTCCAATTGAGTTTCTCCTAATGAAAGGTGAGGTTGGTGGGTAATCATTAAAGGGGGAGCTCTGAGGAGGAGGGCTTATAAAAAGTGTGGCTGATTYTTGTTTAAATTTACTCATGGATAAGTAATATGTGCATATCTTAGCACCTTTTAATGGTTCTCTTTGAACCTTGCACTGTATTTTTAGATTCTTCAGCTGTAGGAAAGCAGCAAGAGACCGATTTTTATCTTCTCAGTTTAATACTATATCTTTATGAATATTGCTTCAGGTCATATAATTTTTCTTGTTTATTGTTGCTAAAATTTTTTAAATGCTCAAGTAAGGAACATTTACAGGTAAAAGGAAATTGTGACAAAGGTTCACGGTGAAAAGTTGCTCTCTTGTTGCTATTTTTTATTTTTCCAAATCTTCCTCCTCCCAAAGGTGATAGCTGTGGCCCTTTTAAAATCTTCTAATTTCTTTATACCCATTCTAAGCAAACACRCTCCTATTTGATGTGTTCTGATTTCCCTCTACCTTGTAAGGAAAAGTTGTTTACCTCACTTTCTTTCTGCCTTCTTGATTTATTATGGATTATTTTGGACATATTTGTTTTTCTTTCTTTAGCAGTTGCTTGGACTGCGTGTTATTTTGCATGCCTGTTAGTTTGTCTTTAAAACAAAGTCCTAGCTATAGAATTTCTGGGGTAAAAGGGTATAATTTTTGTTAAATATTGACAAATTGCTCATCCCAAATTGCTCGTGCTGGTTTATACTTTGGTCTACAATGGAGTGTTGGGTGTTCCCAGTGTCACCACCACTAAAAACTTTATCAAACCTTTTTGATCTCCTCCATTCCCATAGATGGAAAGTGGCAGATCAGTATAGTTGAGGATTGAGATATAAGTTTTATATTGAGTATTTGTCAGTTTGGTTCATATTTTATTTTACCATTGGTAATWCTCCTCAAAGTAGGCCTTTTCAAAGTTGTTTTTATGTCATTTTGGCTTTTAATGTTTACATTGTGAAAGGATGAGTGCATTGATCCAGTGTCTTTGTGGCATCTTATATTTTTGAAGGCTTTGGCACATCATCTTCGTCTTTGAATCCATCAACTACGTCCTTCAAATTTGGTATCCCATCATCTTCTGGGCCTTGTGTATCATCTGACTCTGGATCTATAAACCCCATCAGTGAAGGCTTTAAATTTTCTAAACCTACTGGAGATTTTAAATTTGGAGTTTCATCAGATTCTAAACCTGAAGAAGTTAAAAAAGACAGTAAGAATGATAATTTTAAATTTGGACTTTCTTCTGGTTCAAGCAACCCAGCTTCATCAGCTTCATTTCAGTTTGGAGTGTCTAATCTTGGGCAGCAAGAAAAGAAAGAGGAACTGCCTAAATCTTCACCTGCAGGCTTCAGCTTTGGTACGGGTGTTATTAACCCTACCCCTGCTGCTACTGAAACTGTGGTGACCTCTGAGAATAAGAGCAGCTTCAGTTTTGGAACCATAGAAACCAAGAGTGTCTCAGTGGCTCCTTTCACTTGTAAAATGACAGAAGCTAAAAAGGAAGAAATGCCTACAACCAAGGGAGGGTTCACTTTTGGCAACATGGAACCTTCCTCTCTGCCTTCTGCCTCCATGTTTGTTTTGGGAAGGACAGAAGAGAAGCAACAAGAGCCCGTCACTTCTACTTCTCTGGTTTTTGGGAAGAAAGCTGACAATGAAGAGCCGAAGTGTCAACCAGTGTTTTCCTTTGGGAATTCAGAGCAAACCAAAGATGAGAGTTCTTCAAAGTCAACATTTAGTTTCAGTATGACAAAACCATCTGAGAAGGAATCTGATCAACCAGCAAAGTCTACATTTGCTTTTGGAGCTCAAACCAATACTACAGTTGGTAAATATTAGAAAATTTTTACAAGGGTCTTTAATATTTCCGTAAATGCAGTAGGTCAAGGAATGGTTACATAGAACATGCTTGATAGAGTACCAGCTATAGAGGACAGATGGGATTTTCAGTTTTAATCGCTCCAAACCCTCATGATTCTAATGAAGTTAACTGCAGGTCTAATTTTAAGAAAAAACAGCTCTAATGGAAAGCTCATAATAGTGTATCTTTGTCTTTCTCCCTCATAATTGGGCCTTCTACTTGGGCTTTTATAACCAGAATTGTTATTATACTATCTAGAAAAGTAGGTATTTTAAATAAGCTCATGAAATATTGTATAATTTTTATGTGAAGTCCTTCAGTTACAAATAGTTAACATTTATCATCAGTCATTTAAGGAACACAGCCTAGAAATATAATTAAATCCTGAGAAAACAGAGACAATTCTAAAACAAAAGTCCTGAAGAAAAAGAAATAAAAATAGCATTTTTAAAAGTAAAGAGCGTGGTTGTTAAACTTAAAGCCATTATATGGATTTAGTAGCAGAAAGAACACAGGTGATAATCAGATTTGTGAAATGGAATTTCCCAGAACACATTGCAAAAATAGATATTGATATAAACTAGATCTACAGTAAGATGCATTAAAATAGGAGTTCTTAGAAGATGAGAACATTACCTGGGAGATGTCAAGTAAGTGACAGAAGTTTTTCTAGATATAAAGAAAGACCTGTCTTAAAAATGGAAAGGTGGGCTCAGGGTATATCTCAGTTGGTAGAGTGTTTGCCTTGCATGCACAAGGCCCTGGGTTCAATCCCCAGTATCAGGAGGGGAAAAAAAAAAAAAAGGAAAGGCCCATACTAATTGACAAAGATCAGTGAGTTTTAGGACACCAAAGCCAAAACTCTGAACGCTTCCAAAGAGAAAAGCTGTTTGCCATAAACAAACAGGTATCAGAGTAACATTAGACTTCTCCTTTGCCAGCATCAAACACTAAAAAAACAAAAGAGCAGTGCCCTCAAAATAAAAATGGTTTTGGACTTAGAATTCTGTAATAAGCCGAATTTATCCAGACAAAATAGAGGTCTTTCAGACATGCAAAGTATAATTTAAAAACCCATTAATAACACTTTTTAACAATAAATTAGAAAATACTCAAAACAAGAACCTAAATAATGTGGAATTCATCAAATAGTTGCAAGCAATTTTTTCTATTAGATATTTTCTTGGAATTTTAAAAGCAACCTACAAAGAAAATCATAACTAAAATTACTCTTTTGAAAAGGAACAAAGCAGATCTCATCAAATTTGGTCATGCAATCCCTAGACCATAGTAAATGCTTTTAACCACCCTCCTGTTAGCCAACATGAAAGTGAGCCAACAGGCTCCGCTTTTTATAAATCATACTAATGCCCATAGGACACTGTGAACTGCCTGGACTAGTGTGCAATATTGGAACTCAAAACATTGAAATAGTAAAAAGTCCTCTGTTAGGTATTGAGGGTCACCACATAAAAACCATCAGGTTTCCTTTAAGTTCTCATCTTCTAAGAACTCCTATTTTAATGGAACTAATAATAGTGGTATAGCGTGTCTCATTTGTGTTTTCTAACATTTCTAATTTTGTATTTTATAGCATCAGTGGAATTTATAGCATGCAGAATAATTGAGTAATCATTAAAGACGTACTTGTTCCTGAGAGTAGCTACTCCACATCCCTTTACATGAATTCTTAGAAGAACTTTTGTGGAGCTTGATAAGCTATGCTAGTTCTGAAATGTACATGGAAGGGAAAATAACATAAGAAATTTTGGGGAGAAGGGCAAGCACACAGACAGGGGTGTCCTACTATGAAACTGTATGTGACATTAAAATAATGAAAACAGTCTAATGACAGTAACATCAGAGGAAACAGTATATATAAAGGTAGCATTGCAAATTGGTTAGTAAGAGGTAAATAGTGCTGGGAGAACTAGCAATCCTTTTGGATAAATTGAAGTTGTTGTACTGCATAATAAATTGCAAAATCAAACACAAAAGTACAGCTAATCTGGATTGTTCTCCAAACACAGTATCAATTTATATTTGGATTTGAGGGAAAATATATATATATATATTTTAAGTCTTGAATGCCAAAAGCCTTCCTGTGGGGGGAAATATTTATAAGCTATAAAAGAAAAGATATTTTTCAAAATTTAGAATTAATAGATGATCATTCTGTGAATAAATCTATATAAATACAAGCTTCTATTTTTTTAAAACTATTGAATTCCAAGATTGTAGTGCAGGAAATGCCTTCTGAGATGATTTGTACTTAAGGGTTAATGTTGTTTTCTTAATTTTGTCTTACAGATCAAGGAGCAGCAAAGCCAGTTTTTAGTTTCTTGAACAATAATTCCTCTGGTTCAAGTACACCAGCAACTTCAGCTGGTGGTGGCATATTTGGTAGTTCCACTTCTTCCTCCAATCCACCTGTGGCTGCCTTTGTGTTTGGACAGGTCAGCAATCCTGTGAGCAGCTCTGCTTTTGGTAACTGTGCTGAATCCAGTACATCTCAGTCTTTGCTGTTTTCTCAGGATAGTAAACCAGCAACCACATCCAGCACAGCTACAGTGGTTACCCCATTTGTCTTTGGGCCGGGAGCCAGCAGTAATAGTACTGCAACCTCTGGTTTCAGCTTTGGAGCTACAACCACTACAGGTACATAACACATTGTGTAGTTAGATTGGCTGGAATACAAAAATGTCTGTTCTTAGCAAATAATATAGCAGGCTGCCAGCATTCTTCAGTGGCATGTGTGCCTTTGGTCATCTGTGCCTGAGATGTTGTACTTATTCATTGTATAGAATAGTGTACAATTTGTGTTCAGGTTGAGTATGTTTAATTTTGGCAACAGTTTTTCTAACCTTTGCAAGAATTTAATTAATTTTTCTGAGTTTTCATTTTGAAATGTCAAGTTATAAGTAATTAGTGGTGGTGGTTTTATTATTATTCAGTTCTCATGAATGCTATATGTACATGTATATACAGCATCAAGTAATTATTTCTTCATGTATTGAATTTCTGGCAGAAGATTATCTTTTTATATTTTTTAAGTAATAGTTGGACACAGTATCTTTACTTATTATTCATTTCCATGTGGTGCTGAGGATCAAACCCAGCACCTCGCATGTGCTAGGTGAGCGCTCAACCACTGAGCCCCAGCCCCAGGCCCAGGAGATTTATCTTTTTAGTTGTATCCCTTTACCAAAAAAATTTGGCTATGAGGTGGAGGAGTTTCATTCATGTTAATTGAAATCTCTGTTTATGTGGATTCTGTTTTACTACATAAGAGTAGAGTTATAGTCTCAATCATTACTTACAACTTGTTTTGATCAAGGTAAGCATCTGAAAAGAAGGATGGACTTTGAGGGTTTATGGAATCTTTTGAGGACTGACCGTAGTGACAGTCTTGATGATTTACACATTCCTTTGGCCTCCAGGGTCCTCCTTTGTATTTGGCACTGGGCCTCCAGCACCATCTGCCACTCCAGCATTTGGTGCTAACCAGACCCCAACATTTGGACAGAGTCAAGGTGCCAGCCAGCCCAATCCCCCAAGCTTTGGATCTATATCATCTTCAACAACATTGTTTTCTGCTGGGTCTCAGCCTGCACCACCTACTTTTGGAACAGTGTCAAGTAGCAGCCAGCCTCCTGTGTTTGGACAACAGCCTAGTCAGTCAGCATTTGGCTCTGGAGCAGCTCCTAATCCCAGTAAGTTTGTACAATAATGTGGTTTGTGTCATACTTGGAGTCCGTGTGTCTTACTACAGGGAGTTATGTGTCGATTACTCTCCTTGGATAGGCCTACTGTATTGTCTTATGACACTTTGATGATAATTAATACTAATCTTTCCATGTGGCTTGTTTGCTTGCTTATTGATTGACTAATTGATTGGGTACTAGGGATTGCTTACTTGCTTGCATATTTATTTATTTATTGAATACCAGGRATTAAACTTGGGGACACTGAGCCACATCCATAAGCCCTAATTTGTATTTTATTTAGAGACGGTCTCACCAAATAATAGCCTAGCACCTTGCTCTTTCGAACTTGTGATCCTCCTGTCTCAGCCTCCCCAGCCACTCAGATTACAGGCATGTGCCACAGTGCACAGGGTGACTTGCATATTTAAACAGAAGTTTCTATGACTTTTTAAATATGACTGATCATGCTGTATTTTAATCATATATTTTCTCAGAATTGCACTGTTTTTTTYCTTATTATGAAATGTAATCTCATTTATAGAAGTGGGTAAAACAAATGAACAGTGTAACACTGAAGCAAATACTTGTGTAACCACCACCTGGAAGCCCCTTAGAGATCCCATTTTGATCACATTCCTTTCCACTTAGCTCTTTTGTGATCTGTGTGTGTGTTTGGTAATCATTGTTCTTTGGACTTTAAAAAAAAAGTTTACAGATATGCATCTTTAGGAAATATAGTTTTGTCTGATTTTTTAATCTATAAGAGTAGAATCTTACTGTATGTAATCTTTTGTTTTTTTACTTTTTTCTCTTTGGTTTGTAAGGTTCGTTCATGTGATTGCATTTAGTGTGTTCATTATCACTCCTGCATTGTATGTATATACCACAGTGTTTCCATTTACTGGTTTTTTTTTTAATATTTATTTATTTATTTATTTTTTGTTTGTTTGTTTGTTTTTAATATTTATTTTTTAGTTGTACACAATACCTTTATTTATTTATTTGTTTGTTTGTTTTTATGTGGTGCTGAGGATCAAACCCAGGGCCTCACAAGTGCTAGCAAGTGCTAGGTGTGCTAGGTGAGCTAGGCGAGTGCTCTACCACTGAGCCACAACTCCAGCCCCTCCATTTACTGTTGATGAAGGTTTAAATTGTTTTCAATTATTAGAAATTGCTGCTCTGCATGTTCTTAGATATGAACCTTGGGGTACATGTGCATGCTTTTCTGGAGTATATAACCCTGGGTGAGGTCACAGGATTAAGAGGTCTATGTATCTTGTACATAGAAGATAGTTGATGGTTTGCACCAATTCACATTCTCTTACCATTGTATGAAAAAAAATTGCCATTTGGATTCTATTTAGATTCTATTTAATGTCATTTGTGGATTCTTGAAGCATTTTTGGCCATTTTCTGATTGTTTCGCTTTTGCTTATTGGTTTGTAATGGTACTTTGTGTATTMTAGTATTAATACTTTATTGGTTAATAAATGTTGCAAGATTTTTCCTGTTTTGTGACACATATTAACCATTTTAATCAGGACTTTTTTTTTGTAGTGTGGAATTGTACAGTTTGGCTTTGTTTTATACGGGTAACATCTCTCTCTATCCCAATAGAGATACAGTATGATTGGGCCAGTATTCTGATAATGCACATACTGTATATTGCTGAGTAGCTGTGTGGTATGCTGTGATTTTCTTTCCTATTCAAAATTTTGTTGCCTGTGACATCAATGATTCCTGCTCTTTTAACATTTTCTTTGTACTTATAATTAAAGTTTAAACTTCCTGAATTTGTATAAATATTTCCTCAGTATTTTTAAAGCCATTAACTGTTTATTAACATCTGAAAAAACTTTCTTTTGAATCTGATCTTCCACTAGGCTTCCTAGCCCAGCTGTTCTACAGTGGTGGCTTTGTGCTCTCTTACCATCACCTCAGGAGTTCCTTTAAGCATGACTTTTGTCTTTTGTACTTTCTCAAGAGATTTTTTTTTTTAACCTTTTCTTATCCCTTCTTTTGAGATTTTGCCTTTAGTATTATTACTTTTTATTTTTTGGATTATTTTTTATATTTGTTTTCTGGCTGTTTCTTTTATTTCTCTGATTTTGTTTCATGGATAGTGTTTTTTCTGTTATCCCTTAAGATGTTAGTGATACTGAGTTACTGGTTTTTTCTTCAGGTTTCACTTTCCTGCTTATTTCCCCAGATTGCTTTTTCTGTTTTTGTTTTGGTGTTAATACTGTCACCAAATATCTGGTGGTCCTTGGCTGTCTGCTAATAGTTGTAAGAATGTAGGATACCTAAATACCACTTAAATCCTTTACATACTGCTGAAGAGTATGCCTCTTCAGTTTTATTGTAGGCTTCTCTGATTTATCTAGCATTATTATTATTATTATAAACACCTGGATGTTAGTATCTTTAGGTTTTTCATCTTAGTTTGTTAAATTCCCCAGAGAAAATGTTTGTAGTCATCTGCTTAGAGGGTAACAGGGATCCTCCTGCTTGCCAGTGTTCTGGGAGCTGGGTCAGGGAGGATGGGTTGAGGTCACCATATGCRTTATGGCAACCTGTCATGTTCTTACCTTTGACTTGCTCCAGAGACATCTCCAAAGACCAAACTTTGGTTTGGTGTTAGAGTTTGTTTCTGAAAACCATCCACATTCTTTCTGATAGTTTTCTTTGTTGTCATCCTTGTCCTTGTTTGTTTGCTGGCCTCGAAMTTGGCAATCCTTCTCAGACTCCTGCTGAAGTTACCAGCAAGCATCACTGTACCTGGTCATTCCCCTTTCCTGTTATTTTAATGTACTTTTCAAAGAAGAKAGACCTGAATGTATGTCTGTTCCACTGCCTTTAACTAGATGTGTACTCTGCCCTTTTCTCCTTGGTCAAGGCCAAATTGTTTCACTTGTTAGAGATACCAATTGGTGYCAGAGAAAATATTTTAATTTTCTGTAGATTATATAATCATAAGAGATCTTAACTCTTTACATGTTTTCATATGTTGATGTCAGAATCATTACTAAAGAAAAACTATTATTTTTCCTTTAATGAAGTATTTCTGCTTCAACTATTATAGGTTCCGGTTTCCAATTTGGCAGCAGCACTACAAATTTCAATTTCACAAACAACAACCCATCAGGAGTGTTCACATTTGGTGCAAATCCTAGCACGCCTGCAGCCTCTGCCCAGCCTTCAGGCTCAGGGGGCTTTCCATTCAACCAGCCTACAGCAGCTTTCACAGTGGGGTAAGAGGATTTGCTATTCAAGTGAAGGTCAGGAGTGTATGAATGCATGTGTTTTGCTTCCTGAAAGTCGTTCAGATGCAATATACTTTGGGTGAAATTAATATATTCTCCAACACCAATTTGCATTGTTTTAATTTTGGAGATTTGTAGCCTGAAAAAAAAATATTAGTTGTAGTAGTAGTGTGTGTCAGATAAAGTGGAAAATGTATTTGCTTCACAGTGTCTTTCCTGCTTTCTTTTCCCTGTTGCTGGTCATGTAAAAAGTTATTATGATTCTAACATTTTTTTATTGAGCATCATGTCACATTATGAAGTTTTTTTCCCCACAGGTCAAATGGGAAAAATATGTTCTCCTCTTCTGGAACTTCAGTTCCTGCTCGCAAAATAAAGACTGCTGTTAGGCGAAAGAAATAAAGGTCAAAGTGGTGTTGCACACACAGTTTTAACGACAKCTGGTGCCCTTATTTCAGATACTGGATTGTACTCCAAACTGGGCTCGTCTGAAGTCACATCTGCCTAAGGACTTCTTTAATTTTGGAATTTTCCTCCTTTTTCTTTACGGAAGCTCCACTCCCACCTCTCCCAATCCCCACCCCCCCTTTTTAAAAAAAATAATAGCTAGACTGGTGACTGATTCTTCAGCAAAAATRTTTTATGATTCAGCACATTATTCACTGATTTTGGCATAGTCTGGCTGTCCCCAGGAATAGAGCCTGCACGGTGAATGGCTTTGTATAGACCCTCTTCGTCTGCACCGCAATGTGCGCTGATAAGCGTTTGTGGAACGCATTGAACTTGTAATTATATCTGAGGAATTCTGTATAGATTAGAGGACATTGAAATGAATGATCTCTATGCCGAGTTTGTGCTGGTGTACGTGTGAAGTGAGTGAGTTGGGTGTGTTGTGCACTAAGATTTTCTGATAGAGAAAGCCTGATTAAAGAACGGTCCATGCCAAGGACTTGTTAGATCTAGTTCATCGTCCATTTAATAATTATATGCTATTTCTACATTTTCATTCTTCTATCACCTGTCTTGCCTTTTTCATTATTTTATTATGAAACTTCTGTAAATATAATTTTGTTTCTGTACTTTTTTGGCATAACATAAATCTGTGAACTTGAAATTTTAATTTTGTGTTAGACATTTTTTTGTTGTTTGTTTAGTCTTGTCTCAGATTTTATTATGTAAATCCCATTATTCAAAGTTGCCTAAATCCATTTAGAAATCTTAAAAAAAAATTGGGGATACTTAAAGTTGAATTTATTGGCTTTTCTGATCCAGTTTTGTTTGGACCAAAAACCAGTATTGTACAAAGTATTAAGCATATATTTTTATATTTACTGAAATGGACTGTGGTGACTTTGGATAATAAGGAAAAGTTTAATATTAAAGCCATGTTTATTACAGTATAATTAACATGTTAAACCATGGGATAAATGCCATCAATAAAAATTTATGAAGCACTTTTTGTTAAAGAGTTTTAACTCATAATGAAGGTACACAGTAGCCATGGGAAGAGAGAAAAATTCAGCAGTGTTCAGTTAGAAATCCCAGAGAGTATATTTAATGTAGAGCGGGAAGGGTCTGAGTTGACAGCATGAAGGAGGCACCCTGCCTGTCTGGTGCTGGGGGTCTTGCCTATTTGCACATAGATCTTCATACTTTTTTGAAGTTGAAAATAAACACACACACAACCATTTGTTTGTATTATATCTTCCTTGATAGGTGATTGGACAGTGTTTATTCATAGTTTGGAGGGATATGTATCTAAAGCAATTTTCAAAAACTTTAGTGGTCCTTTTGTGTAATTTTTTAAATTACTAAATTATTATTTTATTGATCACTTTTTTTCTGTGGCCCCATGAACTCTTAGAATAGCATTTGGTATTTTTAGACTGCAATTTGAATGCAGTTAATATGTGCTTGCTTTTAATTTGAGGTGTTTGGAGTTGAAATTCTGAAATTTTACAATGTTTAGAAGCATTTCTGTTTTCCATAAAATGATGTTTGTCTTACCTAAGGTATCTTCAACCATCATCCATTTATAATTAATAATATATATTTGATACTTGACCTCTTTAGAGGTCAAATGGTGATAGTCAATGTTAGAAAAGGTAACTGGAAATCTGTGACTGCTAGGAAGTTAACACCTAATGCTCTTGTAGGTTGGTTCTTTGCCATTACCCATCCCAGGTAATTAGGCATGTCAGGCTTTCTACTTTTCTCAAAAAATATGCTAGAAATGTTTAATATTCCTTTTTTAAACAAGTTACCAATAAACCATACTTAAGATCCCATAAATGGGATCTTTCAGCTTCCCAACTGAGTGTCTATAGAACTGTATTTGAACTTGGGACTATTTCCAATCTTTATTCCTCAGTACCAGGGATCGAACCTAATGCTTTGCCACTGAGCTATATCTTTAGCCCTCTTTGAGACAGGTCTTGGTAAGTTGCCCTGGTTGGCCTCAAACTTGTGACCCTCTTTACTGAAATAAATTGTTCATTTTAACAATTTGTTACCAGGCTGTTAATAGTTTAGCCTGGGAAGAATGTTTCCTTCTATTCTGATGGCATCTCCTTTTGGGGGCCTGTTTAAAATTTGAAATTCAGTGAAAAATTTTAAAGGTTAGCTTGTGTGTTTAATGGAAACTAATTTGATGTAGTATTGAGGAAATGGGGGTGTTATGTCCACACACTACTGCTCCCTAACCCTAACCAAGTCAGTCAAGAGAAATATGGAGCAGCTTTTACAAACTTTGCTCAAAGGACAATGTAGTTCTAAAATGTGCAATTGGGGCTTTGTTGTTGTAGGTGGACACAATACCTCTATTTTATTCATGTACCTAGTGTTCCACCTCTGAGCCACAACCCCAGCCCTTCCTTACTAGCTAAGTTTTTAACAGCACATTGTCTATATTTTTCCCGAGGATAGTTATCTGTGTAGGTTAGATTGGGGAGGGGTTTGTAAGACCAAAACTGAAAGTTTAAGTTGCCCAGCTGTCTCATAGTCTTATGGTGGTAGCTAATGACTCTTTAAGGACTGGATTGATTGTAATTGGTGTGGGAAAGAAATATCCCTCGAGGCAGATAATGTTTTCATAGACCCATTTCTAAAAATGACCCAGTTCACTGGAGTAGCCCCTGGAAAGTGGTACTTGGAAGCAAGGTCTCCCTAGCAAACCTCAAAACAGACAAACACAGATGCACTGGTGACACAAGTATTTATTGAGAAAAATAATACAAACTGGTGGCATACAAATTATTAAAAAATAGAATGATGGATTTTTATTTATTGGTCAGACATCAGAAACTGCAGATCAAATCCTACTATAATGTGCACATACTTTTTGAAATGAGGAACATCACTCATGCAAGCACACGTTGTGAAGACTTTGGTACCGGGGAGGGGGAATGGCAAGAATTTAAACATGGTACTTGCCAGATTTTAGGAATACTTTTATTTGGGCACATTCTTTGAMGAAACAATAGCCTCTTTTAATAGGGCTAAATGTAGAATGAAAACATTCAATACTACACACACCCCCCCCCTCAAAAAATCCCTTTATATTCCCAAGTATAAATTTTTATGTGTAAGCAAAACAATCAAATCACTGACAAGAACAAATCTTTTTAATGTAGGAGTTAAATTTTGCTAGTATTTTAAGACATTAAAACATTAGACAAGTGGCCCTCAAATAGAATGTCTTTTTTCCCCCAATCCTAAACACGTTGAGTGATGGAAGGTGAACATTAAGATAGAACTACTGAACCAGTGCTAACGGAGTTGGGCCATACTTTCTCATAATACTGGCAAGTAAAGACTTTTCATCCAAATGTGCAGGCTTGCTTTCTTTTTTTATATAGTGGTCTTTATAAAGCAAGGCTACTACTCGGCACTGTGAACCCAGGGCCCAGCTTCTGCCTCCCAACATGAACAGTGGTCAGCCTGCCAGACTAGCCATTCCAGGATACTTTTAAAGTGACAAATAATGTTTGTACTAAGATTTTTTTTTTTTTTTGGCCTTTTTAGGCTAGAGTTTCAACTTGAGAATTAAGATTTTGACACAGAAAAGAGCCAATATCACTTATATAAGTGAAATATACCAAATAGAAAGGTTTCCTGAAAGGGAGAGTCCACCTCATAGCCACAAGGGAAAATGGGCACTGGGCCATGTTCTCTTTTTTCCCCATTGTTTTGTCACATTTTTTCAACTCTGGGAATGAAAAAGTACTTCCTCTAAGCACTGAATTCATAAATAGAAACAGACTTTGGTTTTGTTGTAAAGGCAAAGTAAGACTTAATGTGTATCCTATGGGAACACATGGTATAACTTGAGTCCACACTTAGAGCAAATTGTACTTCTCTAACCATAGCTAATTAAACTGAACTTTTTTTTTTTGTATAAATAAAAAGCCTGATGACAACTTATTTCAGTAGAAATTCCAAGTCAAAGATACATTCCACAGTTACCACTGAAGGACATTTAAACTTGAATTCCCCAATCAGTGACAACAGTAGTGTCTATACTATTTTAAGTTTGTATAACATTTCCCAATTTTCAATATAAATAAAAGATTTTTTGTTTTCTTTTTCCTTCAAAGAGCCATAAAACAACCTTCACAGAGGTTACAAGTGAATCATCTATTTAGTACTTGTACACACTTAACTAATAAATCTTACTGTTAAGTTTTACAATAAACACGTATTACTAAGGACACTGTCAAAGTTTCTACACACATTAAATGTTACTTTCACAGTTTTAAATATCAAAAGAAAAATTACTTTAAAAATTGAACAGTGATAACAGACATGTCTTGGGTTTGCTATAAATTTAATACCAAGAACAAAGCTTAGACTGATCCCTTAAGCAGTCTAATTTTAAACTGTACAGTACAGTTTAGTGTTTTTTGGAAAATAGTGTCAGAGTTGGAGAAAATGAGTAAGAATCAAAAAATTACAAATAGTTCGGGTATCTCTCTCAACACAGCTAACTGGGACACACAACAAAAGCACACACAAACATGAACAAAACCCCATGACTTTGCTTCAGCAGAGTAAAGTAAAATGGCAATACACAAAGTATTATTTTGCTTCACATTTCCCCTACAACTCCATCCCAAGCAGGCCCAAAATGAGCTGAAAGCAGCTGAAATGATGTCTGGAGATGACGGTCTCCCTTGCTTTGGAGAGAATAGTTCAGGATGGGAAAATTGCTAGCATTTCACAGGCTACTGGCATTTAGAGTTACTCATGAAATAACTAAGGTGATTTATTTAACTCTTGATGTCTCAACAGTCATGGAACTATACAAGAAGAGGAAAGGAACTACTATKTGAGTATGAAGTATATAAGTTACAACACTGAAAAGCATTAACACTTTCTTCATGCTGCACACAAATTTTATAGTAAATATGCAACATTTTGATAAAAGTTTTCCCCACATAGTCATAGTGAGTTTTGGGGGGCAGTGAAAATACTTGCACATGAATTGTATGTTTTAAATTTACAGTAAAAATTTACACCCCCTGCCCTTATAAACAATCACTAACTTAACTTTTCTCATTAAAAAAAAAATCAGTGATAATATAGCAATATGACTTAATACTTTTTCATCATTATGAAAAATCTGCCCCTAAACACGTTTAAGCATTAAGAATAGTTGCAGAGTTACACCTTTACTGCAGTGAACTGCAGTACAGACTGGAAACTTCAGGCAAGGAACTGCTAGGCCTGCCTCACTTGCCCCTTTCAAAAACACTGCAGCTGACTCAACACCTGCTGGCAAGGGAGGTGAGTGAAGAGTTCTCACTCCCTCCCTTCCCACACCAAAACAAAGAACCATTTCCCCAAGAAGTGTTAACTAAAAGATAAACTAAGTAGGTGTTTACAAAACACAACTGGACTTCTTCCATCATTTTGGGATAAACCAAAATAAAAATTTTAAAGTTTCATTTGGAGATTTCAAAGCTGAAAATGCTTTCAACAAATTCTAATGCCTTAGATCTAAAGAAAGTATATATTGTCCGTTGTTGATTATGAAACCACTGGCCTTCTTGTTGATCTAAAAATTTTTTTAACACTTGAATTTAATATATATGTTTTTCTTCTGGAAAAGTTCTTTGGCATTCAAGTAAAATCAATACTTTCAGAACAGTCACCTGTATCACACTGAAGTGACTGCTTTAATTTCTAAACCAATTTTACCCAGGGATACTGATGGCCTTGACACATAATTTAGTCTTGTCATTATTCCAAAGAATGGAATTCAGGGTTTTCTGGGACATCATCTGACCCCATTTCTTTTTACCACAATGGTTCCTGCTACAATGTCATAGGCTGTTCGATTATGCTGAAAAAATAGCAGTGTGATGAAAGCAGGGAAAAAAGAGGCAATAGAAAAATTCTTGATCAGAGCTCGTATGGTGGACCTAAAAAATTAAAGCAAAAATATCAAGGTATAGATGACTACATACAGATGAGTGGTATCCTACCCAAGTTCAAGTTGTACTTGAAACAGTCAATATGTAATTAAGAGAATTTTTACCTTTGATGTGTTATTTTCAAGTAAATATATCATGACCAAACTACTGGGCTCTTTCCAAAGAGTTCATCAACATAAGACTTAGAACTTTCATAAGAAAAACATCTCAGATGGGCTGGACTATGGCTCAGTGGCAGAGCGCTTGCTTGCCTAGCATGTGTGGGGCACTAGGTTTGATTCTCAGCACCGCATATAAAAAAATGAAWKAAA